TTATTATTTTAGTAACATAGATCTAGATCTACTGGGCATAATTTATTTATTCATTGTAGACGTCGATTAAATCAAATTAGGCGGGTTATTTTCATGATCGAGGGAACACAATATTCGAGGAAACTTAGCGACCGATACTGGCGAGAACGAGAGGGGGCGAGAGATGAAAGTCACATATCTATTTATAAAGAAAAAAATTCGAGTAGGCTTGGCCTACAACATTTCAGCGTTCCAGCGACAACCATTGTAAAACATATTTTTACTTTGCAATGTCGCAAGTAAGGGCGTCGATCCGAGCCTGAGCATGGAGGGGACACAATCGGCGAATCAACCAGCCGGTGAATAAGCAGGGGGGGGGGGGTGCATTGTGAGCACTAAGTTATTAAAAATCAAAATCAAAATGGGGGTAAAAATGGGTGTTGCCCCTTCTTTTCTGACAAAACATGGGGGTACATTTGATATGATATCCCCCTCGGAAAAATCACATTTGATATGATATCCCCCCTCGAAAAAATCGTGGGGGGGGGGTCGTGTCCCCCTGCCCCCCTCCCTTGATTGACGCGCTGAAAGAACAAGCAAGAATTTTGCATTAAAGATACATTTTTATCACAGCTGCTTCTCAAAGTTTTATCTTTCTCTTTCCTTTTGTGTTTGTGTATACAGTATAGGCCCACCGTATAAAATTTATAATTTGTCAGTGTTCATTATTAGGATTTTTCTTTGCTTGTCAGGGATTTTGAGAACCATTCTACCCTCCCTTAAAAAGTACTTTGCTGCCCTGCCTAAGCTTGCATTCAGACATGCACATAACTAGAGGAGGCAGAAGCCGGGGATGGGGAGGGGGCACAGTGCCCCCCCCCCACTTTTTAAAGTACCCCTTTTAACATAGGGAAAGTGCCCTTTTAACCATTTTAACTTTGTAAAAAGTGCCCATTTTTACATGAGAAAAGTTCCCCTTTTTACTTTGTCAAATGCCCCTATTATGAAAAGTGCCCCTTCCCATTTTTACATCTGAAAAGTGCCTCTTTTATTTTCACACGTGCCCCTTTTCCTTCAACAAGTTCCGACTTTCCTTTGCAATTAGTGTCCAGTCTCCATTCTCATAAGTGCCCTTTTACTTTGATAAGTGCCCCTTTTTCCTTTGTAAGAAGTTCCCCTTCCATTTTTAATAACTACCCCTTTTCAATTTCATTCTCATAATTTATTTTTGGTAAGTGACCTATTTCAGGTATGAGAAGTTACTCCTTTTCACTTCAAATAACCGCCCCCTTCACCTCTGATAACTACCCCTTTTGAAATATGAGAGATGCCCCTTTTATTTTAACATTTCCTTCTTCTTCTTGTTTGACACGTGCCCCTTTCCTTTCTAATAAATGTACTTTTCCTTCTTATAAGTGCCCTTTCCCTTTTCATAATTACCCCCTTTAAATTTCTGATAAGTGCTGCGTTTATTTTAATATTTCACTCTTTTTCTTTTTAATAAAAGCCACTTCCCTCTTTTCATAAAAACCCCTTTCACTTTCAAAAAATGCTCCTATTAAAATCTGATCGGTGCCCCTTTCCTTTCAACAAATGCACATTTTCATTTATTATAAGTGCCTCTTTTCATATCAGATCTGTGCTCATTTTCAGGTGCGACAAGTGCCCCTATTTATTACCTCTGATAATTTCCCTTTTAACAATGATACGTGTCCCTTTTTCTTTTTAATTAGGGACATATCCCCTTTTCATAAATTGCCCCTTCTTACCCTTTTATACATGCCTCTATCAAAATATGATGGATGCCCCTTTCCCTTTGACAAATGACCATTTCCCGTTCTCATAAGTGTCTTTCTTCATCCCTGGTGAGTGCCTCTTTTCAGGTGTAAGAAGTGCACCATTTTCATCTCTGATAATTACCTTATGTACTTCTCTTTTCTAATTAGTGTCGCATCCCTTTCGATAAGTGTCCCCTTTTCCACTCATCATTAAACGTGCCACTAATTTAAAGCGACCGTAAGAGCAATTACCCCAAAGCTTGCTCGCTCACATTTATGGAGAATATAACAAAGTTACTTATCAAAGGTCTTTTCAGTCGTCTGTTATGAGAATGTGCTTAATCACCGATCAGGATTTGTTTTTTCCTCTTTATAAGATGTAATTTTTCGCACTGCAACCTCACATACATGTATCTTTTTTTTTTTATAAATCAGACCATCGCACCTAACTGCAAAATGTGCTGCTTAAGCAATGTCTTGTATGATACTGATCTATAAAGAGAAACAAAATATTGAAATAATCCTTTTTAATGTAATTACAATGTAGGCGTATATCCCAATGTCTAAAAAATTGTACATTTTCGCCTTGAGATTTTCCTTTGTAGGTGCCCCTTTTCCCCCTGAAAATGCCCTTTTTTGTTGGTGCCCCTCTACTTTGGAAGTCGCTCCGCCACCCCTGAAAGGAGGTGTTTGGTGCTTAAGTTGGGTATGACTCCAATGGGCACTGATCTGTACAGAAAAAAAATGGGTCGTTTGCCCCTCTCTTTTTAAATTTCGTCGGGAGTGGCCAGCGCGCAAGTGTTATATAGGGGCACAGTTCTCAAACTCGCTGACAAGAAGGGGGGGGGGGGGAATGATAAACGGTAAAGATATGGAGATGAAAAGAGTGAGAAATAAGAATAAGAATGAGTGACAATAAAGATAAAGGAACACTTTAAAACGAGAATACAATGGATAAGAAAGAGAAGAAGATAAGAACGACTTGTGAGAGAGAAATAAAGATGAATGTGTTGAAATAATAAAACATGGAAGAAATTTTTGTTTTGTCAATATGTGAATGTGATACGGAAGAAGTGTAAGTGCCAACTCAGTATACCGATAGCACACGAGACCGACAATGACTGAAATGTTCGCTAGACTGACAAAACATAGAAATACATAACAAATATAGAGAAAAACAGACCTAATACGTCTGTCAACGAGACCGGGGGCCGCACAAGACCTATAAAACAAAGAAAAATTGAGGCTGCAGGTCTAATGAACCGTCTAAAAAGTTGTCAGACGACACATGAAACCAACGTTATTGGTCTAGTGGGCTTTCGGTCTCATAGGCTGTAGCCGGGAAGGATAACAGGAAGAGACGACAAAAGCAAGATAAATGAGAATATGACGGAGAGGAAAATTTCAGCAGGGGAGGACAAGAAACGATAGCATATCGAGATTAATTGTGCAAACGGGAAATAGGTTCCAAAATGAAGGCGGAGAAAGAAGATTTATCTAATTAGCAAAAAAACAAAAACAAAAAGGGGTCCAAGAGTAAAGGATGAACACGGAAATAGGAAGCTTAGATTGAAAATGATTTCATATTTAATAAACGCGAGTCGGATGGGTATGTAAATACGGGATGACAGTGGAAAAGGAGACAAGGTAAAATCAGGGGACTGAATGAGAAGAATTAACAGGGATAGAACAAGAGAATAAATTACAAACAATAATCGTTAAGGAAAGTTAAAGGGACAGCAGTTCACATCACAATCATCATCGAAATCATCATCATCTTGTAAGGTCCATTTCCCCTTAATTTATCAAGTTGGAGGCTTACAGATTTATCGGATTGAAACTCTCAGAGTCAGTAAAATATTATAGCAAAGACCCCATAAACAGTACAAATATCAAATACATTGAAAACGTAACTCACTTTTATAGGGCAACTGAAATATAACTGCTCATTTTGTAAGATTGCCCTATTTTTTTTGTTATTAAAGCTGTTCAAATCGGTGTAGGGCTTTGAACTAGACTTACTAAAAAAATATCACACTGTGACAAACTCTAAAGTTGTTTAGTGACTAAACAACTAACAGAAAACAATGACAATTTTGTTTTATAGTATATATTTACAAGTGATATCAACATGATTCACATTTTATTCCAGATCCCCATACAAAATATATATTAATAAAATACATTTCTTTCATGTAGGCAATGTAGGCCTACAATTAAATTTGAATGTTTCACATCCAATATGTATGTGTCCTTCATAACATTGTCCGATAAACATACCATACAATAATTAAATAATGAAAAGTATATCATTTCAGACAGATTTTAAAATACTCAATACTTCAGTAAGCTCACATTAAGAGCTCATTTATATTTAAATTTCCCATAACATACTATGTGCTTAAACAAAAGGAACATTAAGAAATGTAATCTAGGTGATACAGAAAACTGTCATTGGGTGAGGCAAGGTGGTTGCAGTAATCTAGGTCTTTGTTGAAAACCTGGTTTATGTCCCCAAGCTTTAAAATGCACTTAAAAAAACATTATTTTTATAAAATAATTCTCTAATGCACTAACATCCAAAGGGTTTGTTACTTTCAAAAAGAAAAGGTGGATTTAACAAGCATGTTTTGAGTTCTCATTTGGTTGTTAGTATTTTGGACTGTACAGTTTTTCTAATATATTGCACTTATATAGTTCGTCGTAGTCTCTGCCTTTACATTACTTTGTCCAATGAATTAAAATTGAAGTATCTAACAAGTATTACATTCTATGATTGTCAGGACCCACATAATGATCCTGTATAACTGTTTAAAATAAAATAAGAATTAAATGGAGTAGAAATATGGTCTGATGAGCAAAACCATCAGTTGATTCGGAATCAGAAAATAAAAGCGAGATACCGATACCCTCAGTCACACCATTTATAAACGAACCGATTCTTGACCACTCAATGTAATTTCAATTTTGTTTAGTTAGTTCTTGGTTTGTGTCGCCAGTGTGACTGTGGCATTAAATTTAAGATATGATTCTACCAAAGGGACATATCATCAGTAGTGGGAATTTCTTATCAATTTTTAGTAAAGATATATCCATGAATTTTAGGAGTGTGCCCAGGATCAACATCACAGTTATATGTATTTAAAAAATAAAAAATAAAAATTGGGGGGGGGGGGGGTGGGGGGGGGGGAGCGTTTGGGGGAAATATCATACAGGGAAATCTCCCCGGGCATCCCCCCTCCCAAAACCAAAATATAAACTTAAAATGATGTCAATTTCATGTACAATTTGTATGGGCTGAAATCCTATCAAATAATCTTTGAAGTATATCAATTGATATGCTCCCATAAAATGGCACCAATGATTTCAACAATTTTCATAATTCCATTTACGAATTTCTATCAGCGTTGAATAACAGGCCTTGTACATGTAACTTCTAAATAAAGCTATTAAAACCAGTCAGCTTTGATTGAAGAGTCTAGTTAAACATGTTGCTCAAATGGGTGCATACATTATAGACATTAGATGACTTCTGGTCAAAGCAAATGCTGGTAACAAAAGCCAACACAATATATTAATGTATGGTTCATCAATTTTACAATCTGTTTCTTGCTACTGTCGTCAGCCAAATATGATTCAATGAAGCAAAATTATTATATTTTCCTATAAAACTGACTTTTCAATAAAAAATTATTTCAGCCAAAAGAAAATGACATGATAAAAACTATGAGACAATCCTTAATCCCACAATCTTCATATTCTAAAATAATCTGTGTTGAATGCTACAATATCCTTTCTTTTTCCATATTACAACAACAGCAAGTTATCAAGTCATCAAAATGTCTCCTTTTCGTTTATATAGCTTTTTAAGCAACATAATCTAACCCCGGCACAAACCAGTAAAACATAATAACACAAATATAAAATCTGCTTGGTCGAAATGTACGGTTGTAAAAAATACATCACAAATATCAAACCTTAAAATTGTAACAAGCTTCGAAAAAGAATGATAATACTTTTACATACATTTATCATGTAGTTCTTGTGCTTGATTACAAGACTGTACATTTTAAAAGAGGAACATAAATAGTGATAACCATAGAGCTTTGTGTCTTATCAATACACATTAAATACATCTCATGAAGAATATAGAGAAGAAAAAACAAAGTGGAATTCCAATTGTGCACGGCTACTTTGTCTTTCTTTTCTACATATCATATGGAATAAAACGCTTGAATACAAAATTTAATCCAATACTGCCAAGTCTAAGCACCATTAATTTTCTATTAAAAACATTATACTGTTGGAGCTAATATAACGAATGACATTCTCCTTTAACACATTTGTTTCATTTATAAGCGCATATCACACAAAGAGATTCTGATTAATTGTTTATTGAAGCATTATTCATGCAAGACCAAAAGAATCAGAGGCCGATAAGGAGGAGGCCTGTTATTTAGACTAGTCAGTAGTGTAATAAAAAGTAACTTTCATAATTTTATCACGTTATAGATCATTAAAGACATGTGGCCTTCTTAAGTGGTTTCCAAAGACATACATGTAGGTCTTACTATAGGAGAAAGGCAATGTAATATTTCACAGGAGCTTATTACATAGAGGCAGCTATATCATGGCATGTCGTTGTATTATACAATTACCAAAATGAAAAAAAAATCCATTTGAAATTGATTTACATGTACCTATTGACATACTTGAATTTTGATTACTTCTAAAAATCCCCTATTAATTTTTTTCCTTCTCTTTTATGCATCCATAAAATCTACATTCTGTTTGGGAATCCGACTCTTTATTAGAAAAAGACAATACAGTTACGCATTGCAGCATTATGCTAAACTCTCCTTCCTACTAATAATATGCTCTTTGATACTATCTTGTACAGCTTTTTACAAATCTCTATAAAATATTGACCTTTGACACACAGAAAGATATTGACCTTTGACACACAGAAAGATATTGACCTTTGACACACAGAAAGATATTGACCTTTGACACACAGAAAGATATTGACCTTTGACACACAGAAAGATATTGACCTTTGACACACAGAAAGATATTGCCTGTTGAGAGCCAGAAGGGGGTTAACCATGAGTTAAATGATAAAAGTTGACGCCCTTTTTGCCCCAAGCAGACGATATCTGGCAAGACAAACAGAGAAGTCACGATGCCCCCAGCATGTTTATATATATATATATTATTAATGGCAATAAATAAAATAACTTATAAAGGCATCAATAAAACAAGGCACCTTATCGGCGAAGAGGAGAGGAATGCGTTTTGAGGTGTTCACTTTTGAAATACACTGCGTCTTGGAAAGATAGTATTGACATTTAGCCACTATATAGTTCTTTCGTATGATCTACAAGGTATTGAGTTTTTCGTTATATTGAACAAAGAATCAAGTTCAAAATACATTTTTCACATTTTACAATATACATATCAACAAACGACCTTTCTAACTTCCAAAACACAGTGTATACTCGAGTGCCAACACAGTGTCCTCATCAACATTCTCTCTTGATGATGTAATACTGGGGATTTCCCCTACTCTTCATTGACTTGGGTTAGAATGTACCCCTTGGATATGATCCCCTTCGGACATTGCTGCTGCCGTGTGCACGTCTTTCTTTGAGCTGTTGTAGTAGTACTTGGACAGGACAGGCTCCTCCCTGCAGAGACTCAGTGCATCATAGACGTGGAGGAGGAGAAGCGGGAAGCGCGAGGTGAAATACTTGACGAACTGGTCTGGCACCTTACCCAACGATGCCTTCACTTCCTCTGGAAGCTCCCTAAAATGATGTTTCTGTATAGAATTGTGATGAGGGCAAGAGTTTGAGACATGGTTTCCAATGTGGAAGGACTGTCAATATACAAATAATACACAGCAGTGAGGGCATTAGTAAGAATTAACCACACAAGGTACCTTTGGAACAGTTTAACAGGCCTGAGGCGATAGTCAAGGACGTTTGGACAGTTGCGAAGGTACAGAGCGAGTGTGGGTAATTTTACTAATGCCCAAACAAAATGATGTGTATTATTTGTTTTATAACATGTTTTATTTGTTATATAAAATGATGTTTAAAAACATGATTTTACTAATGACCGGTTATTAGTAAAATTACGTGTTAGGCAAAATAAATGCCTGGTCACATGTACGCTCTCAACCCATCATTTGAATCCGCTTCATCATCTTATAATAATTGATACCTTTAGAAAAAAGTTCACATTAAGATTCCATAAAATTATGCTTTGGCATAGGAGGATGAAGAGGTGATGAGAAAATAATGAAACTTGGTTACTGGAAATCAGATGGATTGTAGATGATTGTTTAAAAACAATGATAATAAGGTAGAAATATCTCAAATGCAGCATGATGAGATTCAGATTCTAAATCAAATTTGGGTATTTGTGCTTTCTAACAAAGTCAAAGAACACAACAATAACAAGAGCGCTACCGTTTACTAAAACTCTACTTGTTGTGTAGAGTCTCTTTGGCTTACTTCAGCTACTTTCATAATTAAAAAATAGACACTGTCAGTCTCATAATCACTTGAATTTTGACTCAGAAAATGAAGTTTCAGCAATTCAGGTTATTTACCATACAAAATCATCATGATATGAAAGTCAAGAAAACAAAACAAAACAAAACTATTCAAGCAGATTAACAGCTTTACAACATTTAATAAAAAACAAACACAAATGTACTCACTTTATTCCTCATTGCTCTTAAAAGATCTCGAACAGAATGCCCTCTATATGCCCTGAATTTTCTGAGATCTGCAAGCAGAAATTGAATGGCAAAATTCAATTAAAAAAAGAAAACATTAAAACAAATTGAAAATTAATTAGATCCATACATTTTTTTACATTCAGTCATACATTATATTTAATACCAGTGCTTTTGACATCAATAGAATGGAGACCTTTGCAGGCTTACACTTATTGATGAGGTATTAGTAAACTACTGCTGAATTCCAAGCTTACATATTTATATCATGATGACTGATTCTGGTTTACACTTTTATCAGTAGACAGATAAATAAATCCTTTGCTCTGTTTTTATACAGTTTGTTAGAAAATTTGGTCACAGTCAGTCAACCATTTATACTGATTCTAGTAGCATTTATCAATGAGGGTAAACTTGGTACTGATAACCAAGAAAGATACAGAATTTACCAAAGGTCCGATTGATAAGGCTTTGTCATCTTCCCAAATTGGCACACATATATCTTCTATCACATTCATAATTTTCAGGCAATGTAAAATGTACATCAAACGCACTTGTATGAATAGGAATTCAAAAATCCACTTTTGTACTTGAAAGTTGTTATTCTTTTCATCTACTACACCATGTTTTAAAGGTAAAGACCAGTTATGGTCATGCGATTGCATTGTGAAAGAAACGTGGAATCGATCAGAAAAGGTTGATCATCTAGCATCTAGCATCTGCAAGGTTCTGGAATCATCAAAATGATAAGAAATTTGGCCCATTCTTCGTAAAGTTACAAGCACTATACACAGAAAGATGTATATGGGACTACCCTATATCTCTCACAGACCATGAGAGAAACAAATTTTCAAAATATATGAATTATCAGGCGGTTTCCCGGCAAATTTTTTATCATCATGTATTTAGTCAAAACATATTCTTTCACATGATTGGTAATGAGAGCTTCCATTTCATTTTTTGAAATTGGGGCGTTTCCAATACTGGTCTTTACCTTTAATGGCTATTTTCATTCAAAATATCCATATTCATGAAGAGCAACTGATTCAAAATTGGTCAAGCTTGATTTTTTTTTAGGTCTTTCTGCATTTATTATTTGATGAAACTGTATCCACTTAGAATTATTATACATTTTATGAAACAAGGCCGTGATGTTCTCAAGCTTCCATAACACATTACTTTACCTGTTTGTAGTTCTTCTGTAATGTTATTTCTCCAGTCCCCTCGGACAACATTTTGAGCACCTGTTTCCAAGGCCACCAACAGAGGGCAGTCTAAAGGCTCCTTCTCTATTCTGTCGCTAACATCCTATGACATCAATGAGAGGAGTATTTGTTACAGGCAAGATATTTTTCTTGGGGTTGGGGATTAAAGTGATGGAATTCTTTCGAAAGCACATGTAATTCACTCCTATAGTGCATGTATTCATTACATCATTAATTGTTCACAGATCAAGTTGAACTCAAAAACACAACAATCAAACATATCAAATAAAGAGAATTACGATTAAAATCCCTCTTTATCTTTTGTTTTGTCAAATTTACCCTCTATCTTTAAAAGAGTAGTTCATTATAAATAAATACGCATCCTCCACTTAACAATTTGGTACAGTTTGTTCAATGGGACATAGATCTAGTGAATTTTTTTCTTTGTTGTGTTTACTAGTTTTTTTATATATATATATATATTTTTTTTTTTTGGGGGGGGGGGGGGGGGGTGGGGGACTTAATGTTGAAAATTCAAAGTTTCTTTGAAATAAATTAGGCCATGCATGTATACATGTACAACGATTTTCAATAGATTGCCTCTTTAACAGCTAGTTTAAATAATGATGAACAGTATGGGTGCCAAAATATCACAAGAAAAGTGACTCATTAACACAGAGCTACCAAGTATCACGCATTAGGCGTGACATCACGCATTTTGAGGGTCTGAAAATGCTCTTACGCACGACGCGCGCGCTAGATTTTGAAAAAACGCTATACCTTATACGTGTGTTATACGTGTGTTATACCCTCGCACGCGCGCTTGCGCGCCGAATCATGAAAATGTCACACATAGTTGATCTTTGAACTTGGCCTCTCTGGTAACATTGCCTCAGATTCTGAAACAATATCCTGGATTTAGCTTGTGCTGCATTGATAATTATAAACCTTTAGGTCAGTCAGGAACCCCATGATTTTTACAAACCGATCGCCGTCTGATTACCAAGATATTTATGATTGGAAATTGAAATTTCATTTTTTGTTTTCCTAACAGTTTTTATAATACTACAGTCTACTGGGGAAAATGAGTATGGTAAAACCGGTCACTCAAAGATATTTTTTTGAGGCACTTCATGATCAGTTTGAAGCGCAAATTTGTTTAGGGCTTCAATATTACACCATATCACAAACACTGATAGGGCCATGCATCTGAGATTTATCATTGTCAAACAATGCCTTTAAGAATAGATTCATTACCTGGAAGAATGCTAGCTGTTTTTCAGGATACCAGAAGAAAGGATGTCTGAGGATCGCGTTTGCCTCTGGCCGTGTGTCAAAATAGGGATCCACCATCTGGGTGATGAGCTGATGAGCGATTTCATCATCTGTTCAGATTGGGGAGTGTTAAATAAAGAGAATGGTAACAAAAAATACAGTTCACAACTAAGTTGTTCACATACCCATACCAAGTTTTGTAAGTTTTTAAGTGTGTGAAAAATTGATTTGTCCCTATTTATGTTTCTTGAGAATGTGACATATCAAAGCTTACATTTGAAAGTGTTCAACAAAGGCCCTAATTCACCATTCCACCTTTCATTCTTGATTTACAAAAAGCATACAAAATATCAAATTTTTACAAGGGGTATGAATAATTTAGTAGTTAACTATACATCCTGTCTTTATTCCACTCTGCGAAGGTCTGTCAACAACGTGCTGCTGCTACCACTAAACAACTGTCATCTGCCAAGTACCAGAAGAATATTAAATATACATGGTAGTGGGCTCTCATAGGGAATTTTAAACAGTTCATTCGGGTGTTTACCATATTACAGGTGTTGTCAACCACCAGGATTAGCCTTCAGTTTTATGACCAACAGGCTTTAAGTCTTGCTTCGCTTTTTCCGCCCATTCTCCCATATGGTAAAGTCCTTATCTGACATTTCAATCACCCAAAGACTCTCCAAGAGACGGACTGATGGGGGGGTACTTCCTGATAGGCCTGAGTGTTTGCTGTGTGCGGACTTGTTCACCCATTAATGGTATTACCACCAAGTCTGGCATCAGCGAATTATGACCTACTCCCTTTAACTCTGTAACTCTGAACTGAGTAACATCTTTCTGACTTTACGCCCGAGATACATTTTTAAAAAATGCATTTTTCAAAGAAAGCACTTCTTTTATCTCTAGACAGATTTTAAACTTCATACAGAAATGTACCCAGACTCAAAAGAAAGTCTTCCAATATTGTCCATAACGGCAATCATGGCCAATGATCTAAGTGCTTATCAGGCAATCATAATGGTCATGGTCCCATCTAACAGAAATTTGTAACAGAGTTACAGTTAAGTTACAGTCTCCAATCTCTCATGCACAGGGTTGTGGCTGATGCTTGCTTGCTAGGTGCCTTGTCTGTTCCAGACATTGGCGACCAAGGTTTTCTTTCTATTTCTATCCCTGGTTTCTTGCAATGTGATGTAACTTCTGTTACCAGTCAGCCCAGTAAAATTATCCATGTATGTAATGCACTGTTTCCCTCTGCTTCTCTTTCCCTCAATTTTCTCGTTTTTTGCACCTTCTTATTTCATAATATGCCCAACAAACTGAAGTTATTTTTTCCTTACGATGTTGAGGAGAGATCTATCGACACATAGTATTGCAAATGATATCACATACAAATGTTGCTAATATTTCAGAACTATTGCATATTTATCATAAATGGCAAGACCATCAATTTGTAAGACATAATTTTACCCCAATGATTCAACACAAGATTGCTACGCAGTAAGTTCGACATACGTACCCGGTGGTAATAAATCAAGGCTATATTCCCCTGAGATGATGTTGGCTTGCCGATGGAGCGAGTCACCAAACGGATGCTTCCCGTTGGACAGGACATAGTAGAAGACACAACCCAAGGAGAAGATGTCTATGGCTGTAGTCTAGGAGAGAGTGAAGGAACAAGAGAAATTCAGCAACTTGAACCAATTTATATACAGTCAAACCTGCTTTAGTGACCACCTGTCCACAAAGACCACATATTTTTTGTTTCCCTTGAAAATCGTTTCTCAATGAAACATGTACTAAAGGAACCTGTCTACAAAGACCACTTTTTGTGTTTCCCTTGGGTGGTTGCTATAGACAGGTTTGACTGTATTATGATTCTCATGGTTAGATCTTGATTTCTTGTATTGAAGCTACAAAATAGCTGATTCTTCTGGGGAAATCATATGCAAGGATAAGATATCTCTGGATGTAGTCTATGAGAGAGATATATAATGTAAAGCAACTGGACAAATATATCTATTATGATACTCATGGATAAGCTCTTCATTTCTGATCTGCGAGGAAGGACGAGGAAATAATATACAAAGGAGACAGAAGTTTATGAGAAAGAAATGATGGATAAAAAGGGACCAAAAGAAACCCATAGAAATGAAAAGACACAAATAAGAAGAATCACTGCACAATTGTGAAAGATTGGAATATATCACTAATCAGATAACTGTATAGAGTAAACTTGGAATTTTATATGCCACATTCCAAATTGATTACAAAGATAAGTTTCAGTATCTGCCATATTATCAACATTCCCTTTTTAGGAATTTTACAACATTCATTCTCTTTACTGTTCTATCTTGTCCAGTCAGCATCTCTGGTGCAATCCATCCGTCCGTTCCTGCGACCCCTGACCTCCTTGAGAAGGACATCCTGCCCGCAGAGAGCTTCTTACAGAGCCCAAAGTCTGAGATCATGGCCTTGACCTTGCCGTGCTGGTTGGGCTGGGATATGAGCACGTTGTGTGGCTTGATATCACGATGAACTGGAGAAGGGGGAGAGGGGTAATATGAAGTTATATTCTAAGGTTTTACGATTGATGTTTCCTTGATTCTATTCTTATTTGTTATCCTTGTTAGTAGTAATAATATTAATAATGATATTCCGCTTTATATAGCGCTTAATACATCTAAGCGCTTTACAGATATACTATTACTGTGTGCACCATCTCCACTCCCTGGGGAGTATTCCAGCCAGGCGTTACTTGACACTCAAAAACTGTTTGACCAACAATGACAGACACATCCTACCGGGTACTCATTTAACACTTTGAAGCTCAGTAAATATAATGAGAAAAAGACAGGACCTATCAAGGTCAGGTAAACTATAAAAAAGAGTACTGGAAACAATATTTAAAAAAACACTAAAACAACAACAACCTTTTGAGGAAATCTAACTCATACAACTCAAATCCCAAAAGTGCTTCTTTTATAGCCTATCTACACTTGTTTGGCGAGGAGGGTTTAGACCTCTCTGCAAGGTCACTGACAGGTGGTTATCTCATCAAATCAGCTCTCAATTAACATAAGAAAAGGGGGATTATGGGGGACCAATGGGTACCGCTGGGTGCAAGTAGAGGGGCAAGTTGCTACAAGTAGTGCAGTCCCCCTTTAACATTAGAGTGATTATTGCACTGGAAAGATGTAAGAGTGTGAAAATTAAATGGTTTGACTGCAACTCTCCCCTACTTCCCCCGCCCCCCCCCCCCCCCCCCCCCCAAAAAAAAAGAAAGAAAGAAACAGAATATCCATACACTCACCTATATTTAAAGAGTGAAGGTGGGCCAAGCCAGAAGAGGACTGGAACAGAATGTCAAGAGGTTTCAGCATGTGAAAGCGCCCTCTATCATGGACAAACTCCTGCAGTGTGGCTGTACAAAGCTCAAGAGCGATGAAACGGAACTGAAGGTCCGATTCCTGTGCCAGAGAAACATGAGTATAAACAAAAGTGTATGGAGTATGTGAGGAGAGATCCAATGTTAACGGTGACTCGGTTGGCTTTTCCCATCCCAGATACAAGTGATGCGAAATACAAAGTAACAATTATAATTATTGGGAAAACAGGGGGTGTTTCACAAAGCCTTTTTTTCATTGACAAATGACAAAAGCCAGTGAAAAATCTGCTGATAACCAATCAGAAGCAAGGATTTCAGTAGCTTATAACAAAAACTGTCATTTGTCACTGATGACAGGTTTTGTGAAACACCCCCCCCCCCCAGACCGAGGAATGCACTGATGGGTAATTAACAACTTTGTAAGTGATGGTACAAATTCCTTTGAATGGATGTTGGGTTCATTAATAGTATCGTTCTGCTAATGACTGTTCAAACTCAAGTAGTCTGAAAGAAAACCTTTCAGGACTGTATTTAAATGCAAGTAGGAGAACAGTCTATTTTCTTGACATGTTAGAAGTTCTTACGGATATAATTTTGCTATACTCCAATAATTTTTGTCTCTGACATATCTTTCTTTCGTAAACAGATAGTGAGAGTACAGCAAATTTCATTCTGTAGCAATCTCTAGCATAAAGCTTCCTAATTAATGCTCAATACATTCTTGTTGAAGTGGTGCGTAAAAATTCAGATCGACATAATCGACTGATCTTATCCTGCCATTTAGGATCAAACAAAGAAATGTGTTCAAAATCATGCTAAGACGTACTAGGAAGAACAATTTCAGATCTTACCGTGCAAAAATATCTAATAACATTTGGATGCTCATCCGACTCTCTCAACAGATCCACCTCTCTGTCTGCAAAACTGAAGCATTCTGGCAGGATGCGCTTCACGGCGATGTCCCGATTATCAAAGCGCCCTCTGTAGAGAACAAAAAGACAAATGAAAGAAATTGTTTCCCTATAACATCAAATATATTTCAGTCTAAACCTGTCTATAGGGACCGCCCAAGGAAAACACGAAAAGTGGTCTTGTAGACAAGTTCCTTTAGTACATGTTTTAAAATGTGGTCTTTGCAGAAAGGTGGTCACTAAAGCAGGTTTGACTGTACTTACTACATGGGTATTGGAACACAAGAGCTATGATGAAAATCTAGTTTGAGATCTAGCATCACAAACCCCTTTTTTCAAAATCTGTTTCCCTAAAAGACTAACAATGACCAAAGATCTATCTCTGTTACCGCTTCATGATTCTATCATTATATACCTTCTGTCATGAAATTCCTTTGAGAATCAAAACTGTGGAGAGGATCTAAGACAAAGACTCACAACACAATCTACATGTATTGAGGAATTTAATGGAGCTCTTTAATCCTGTTGATAGATCAAGGGAGTCGACTCTAAAACTTTACTCAAGAACTTCCTTGCGATGCAGAGTAATGAAACTCACATTTCTGATACAGTCAAAACTGTCTATAAAGACCACTCGCAATAAACAAAATGGGCAGTCTTTATTGGCAGGTGGTGTTAACTCACATGGTCTATTGAATACAGGTTTACAGGATAAATGATGATCAAGGGTAAACAAAAAAAGTGGCTTTACAGTACAAGTGGTCTCTCTATACAGGTGGTCCTTCTACACAGGTTTTCCCTACAACAGGGGGAATTTCACAAAACTTGTCATCAGTGACAAATGACAGTTTTTGTTATAAGCTACTGAAATCCTTGGTTCTGATTGGTTATCAGCAGATTTGTCACTGATTTTTGTAATTTGTCATTCAAAAAAGGCTTTGTGAAACAGGCCCCTGGTGCCACAGTTACTTACTTGAAAACGAACGTTCCTTCGCAGCCCTGGCCGAGTACTTGCTTCGGGTTGAACAGGATCTTCCCCACCTTGACAAAGCCTTCTGGGACGTAATCATCACCCCTTGGTGTCACAGAGACATCCCTCTTGCCCCCTGTGCTCCCTGTCCCGCTGTGTTGGCTGGACTCGGACGGGGATGATGAAACCACTACGAGGGGCTGGATATATAGGAACAAAATTTGATTGCAAAATCAAATAAAACAACTTTAAAATGAGATTCATTAAACATGTTGCCAGTGTCAGATAATATCTAGTTATATCTCTAAGAAAAATAATTCACACATAAAACTGTTTTTCGCCAGAGTACTCTTTAGATGTAACAGTTTCTAGTCCCAAAATATAATAAGTGGGTCTCTTTATCACATAATCACCCACATAATCACCTCGTGTTATTAATTCAATGAATCAGAATATTGAATACATTTAAACATAACTTATCTTTACATATTTGCATGCTATACTTGGTATAATTTCCAGATTGATTCTTTGTCCTGTAATTGGAAAAGGGCCTGTTGCTCGCTAAATTGCTTAGAGAAAATGTATGATGACATGTCATGACTTCTCCATGTAAATGTGTTTATATTTTGTCTATTAAATTATAAAATACTGATCATATACAAGGTACTTTTCTTTCATGAATTTACCTTTGGTAAAAAGTAGAGGATGAGAGCCAGCCCGGCAAGGAGGGTAAAGATGCCCCCCATGAAGACCGCCTCGCTCCTATTGACCCACCACAGAGCAGGACTAGGTCCAGGGTTAAGTCCAGGTTCGGGAGGAACCTTTTCAGGGAAGGGGCGCGGTTCACTGGGCTTGGAGAGGTGGGGCAGAGGAATGGGCGTGGCCGTGATGACGTTGGAGAGGTCTTCCAGGCTGACTGGGGCGGTGGGGCGTATCATGATGGAATTGGCAGGCAACTCATGGTAACCTGCAGAGGGATTAAGAGAAGCGAGAGAGGATTGAGTGTTATTTTTAGGGATTGGGAAACTTTGTCTCAGATTCTGAAACAAAAACCTGGATTTAGCTTATGCTGCAATGATAATTATAAACATTTAGGTCAGTCAGGAACCCCATGACTTTTACAAGCCGATCGCCTGTCTGATTATCAAGATATTTATGATTGGAAATCGAAATTTAAAAATTCATTTTCCTAACGGTTTTCATAACACTACAGTCTATTGGGAAGAATGAATATGGTAACACCGGTCTCTCAAAGTTTTTTACTTTTTTGAGGCACAATTTTTTTAGGGCTTCAACATTACACCATATCACAGACACTGATAACATGTAGAGCCATGCATCTCAGGTTTAACATTGTTAAACGATGCCTTTAGTTGGTTACTGTTGTGTGAAGGTTCATTCACTGGACGTTCCCAGAGGTTGGGAGTTTAAATACTGCCCTAATACTTTTGAACATTATACGAGTGGCCAATTCAACCACCATCACCAATATTGACTTCACCGCGATCACCATCATTGGCGTCAATATCATCTCCATCATCATCACCATGATTACTACCATCATCATCACTATCACATGTAATCATTTCACAGATCCAAGTTTAAATAAATAGTTGCAGTGAAATCCTTACCAAGTAGAATAAGGCCTTGGATGTTATTGCCGTCCGACAGCGGATTCATGGGAGGCTTGTCTCGATCATTGGGGGGTGTAGTGCCATCGAACCCTGGACCTTCCAAGAGGGGAGGGCTCCAACCTCTAGACTACAAACAAATGTGAAAAGAAAAAAATATTAGCTTCCCATGTCATAGTTGATCTATTTTTCATAAAAGTTTGGTATTCAAATAACTACATCAAACATCATCCCATCCTTAAGCTCTGTATGGCGGTTTTTCTTTTCATATCTAGATGCTTTAAAAATGTTGGCATACACTATGTTAAACCATGATTTTGATTGGTTTATCCTTTATTAAAAGTGAGAATGATCCTATTTACTTAGATTATAATCAATTAATTTGAAATTGAACTTAACTAAATATATGATACCCCACAAAAAAAAACATTCATCAGCTAATATGAAAATCGCTAAAAAAATTCCTAGCAATTTCTTTCAATGATTTCTTATTTCGGTATGTGTCATATCTAGAAATTTGGGCCCCATCGTATAAAACTTACCATTGATGGTAACTACCATGGAAACCTTGTTTTTGATTGGCTGTTGAGCCCTGTTACCATGAAAGTTGCCATTGATGGCAAAGTTACCATCAATGGTAAGTTTTATGCAACTGGCCTCTGATCCGACCAATCATTTTGTCTAAACTGTTATACTTACTATGATAGGAACCGTTTCCTCCTCCACAAGAGCTGGAAGAGCCAACAAACCAGATGGATAATCCCCGATGTATAGGGTGGGCCTATTGTCATTAAAAGAAGAAAAAATAGTCAATAAGATACAAATTCAAGTTCATTTATAATTTCTACCGATACGATGCCCAGTATGGGAAAAACATTGTACATTGTGCAACCTGTGAAGAAGCAATTCATATCATTCTTTAAAATAAAATATGATGTTTTTACTATACCCCCAACCCCTGTTGAAAAGCCTTGTGGAAAAAATCTGTACAGATCGATGACTGCAACCCCCGCCAAAAAAAAAAAATTGCCTGTTTAGTACAAATTCTGGTAAGAAAACAATAACAAACTGCCATACGGACAATCAATTAGCAAATGGAAATTATTGCGAATAAATAGTGAGTTTGGATGAATGCCATGTGACATTGAGGTGACATTTGCTCTGGTGACAACTGCTCCAGGCTGTATTTTGTAAAAGATATAGGGACAGCATTGGATTGCTATCAGATTTTATGATAGGATTAGGGTTAGGGATAGTGTTGGGTACAGTGTTTTGGTCTACAGTTAAAGTTGGGAATTTGCTAAGAGTGGGAAATTGACCGCGGCGCAATTGTGGTTGGTGCATGCATCATACAACCACAAATGTACTCACACTATCACTCCGTTTTGGTGTATAGCCATTAGGGTTAGGAGTGCAATTGGGGTTTAGGTTACTGGTAGTTGAGTTTAGGGTTAGGTATAGTGCTTGGTACAGGGTTGATGTAAGGAATTCGCTTGGTGTACAAAATTTAACTGCAGATCATTGTCCCCGGTGCATGAGCCATAAAACTGCAAACGTACTCACACTAGTTTGGTATGCTTGGTGTATAGGTTATAGGTTATGGGTTATAGGCATGGCGTTCGGAACCGGAATGAAGTCATGAATTTGTTTAGTGTACAAAATTAACTACAGAGCAATTGTTGATGGTGCATGATCGAGTCATACAACTGCAGATGTACTCACACTAGTTTGGTATGCTTGGTGTATAGTTTATGGGTTAGGGGTCATACAATTGCATATTGGTTATGGGTCAGGGGTCGGTCATACAACTGCATATAGGTTATGGGTTAGGGGTCATACAACTGCATATATACTCACACTAGTTTGGTATGCTTGGTGTACCCTAGGAGCTGGTTCCTCCATGTGGGGTACTCCCCCCCGTCCAGCAGGTGACCCAAGGTATTGGGTGACACCGCCGTGTGGGCCACCTTGTGCAGCCCCTCCCCCAGCAGGCGGTACATGGCCACCACCGGTGAGCTGTGGCTGGTGACCCACAGCATCTCACCGGTCTTCTTGTCCAGGGTGACCATCTGACCGTCGGCGATGGACGAGAAGTGACGCAGGTCTGGTAATGATTAGGACAAAATGGGGCAAGATATCAATGGTCATCTTGTATTCTGGTAAATACAGCAAGTGTATTATAAACAATTAAACAAGACTTACAGAAATGTTTGAAACTGTAAATAAATGATACATGCCACAAGATTTTGGTTAAAATAAAATACCGGTAGAGATTAGCAGAGTGAAAAGCACTAACAGATAAGAAATATAGCTAGTCCTCATGACATGCATCAATGTGGTCTGCTATGTCAAAATGCAAGATGTGGTTTTTCATGATAGCAATTTTCAGAAAGTTATTGTAATTTTGTTCATATTATGCTGGTACATTATAACATATTGGTATACACCTCAAGAATTAAAATCAAGAAATCAAATACAACAAAAATCATTATATTACAACTTGAACATTTTTGTACTATAATTTTTACTATTTGTGACAAATAGTGAAAAAAGAAAACTTGCACAAAATGTAGTTGATACAATTTGGTGTAGTTTCTCTTATCAGTATGTAATTTGTAAATTTCTAATTAGCACTCACCATAGTTACTCTGATCACTGGACACGTGAGATGAGTAGTCTGCAAAAGTTACATTCCAGCTGAGTAAACAAACCAGAGAGAAAAATAATGTAAACACAAGATATTCAATGTAAACAGAAACTATTTCTACTAAAGGCAGTATATGAAATGTACAAGATATTGAACAAATATAGGTCTGGATGAAATTGGTGGAGTTTCCTGAATAAGCAAAAGATTGCTGAAAGATATTGAGCTGGCTTGTCTGACTCAGAAAACATTGTTCAATATCTGAATATACAGACTAAGCACCTATCAAAACACCTTTTAAACAACACCTTTCATCAGTTCATTATGTGCACCTAGTACGCACAGTATTTTAATTTGATCCCAGGAGAAATAACTTCTGAGAAAATTTGATATTTTTGTATGAATATATGATCTGTTCTTTTTAATTCCACTCTGTATAATCAACAATAAATAATAATAACATAATAATATTTTAAGTTTTATATAGCGCTTAAAGGTACTATGTCCCTTTTGCAGCCAACCTCAAATTCTGTAGAACTTTGCAGGAATTATGAATATGTCATGTATGTCCTATCTGTGAAATCTAAACGTTAGCAGTGTCCTAATATTAAAATTATGCAAGGAAACCCGTTTACTTGCTAGACTTCACTGTCAGACACTATTGAGTGACTGACTGGCTTTTTTTCTTCTTTGGTAATAACATACATGAAAAGAGTTGTAAAGGGTACATGAGCATTTGTCTACATCAATAACCCACTTCTTGTGATGGCCAAGATTAAACTGATTGAATCTTTGCGCAGCATAAAACGTATGACCATTTGGTACAATTGTCTGAAAATCAAGACTATTACTTTTGGGCTCTATAGCCTTAAAGTCGATTTGACAACTAATAGTCGTTATTTTCCCACTTGAAGACATTTTCAAGCCCCACCTTTTTTAGGGAAGTTCTAAATAAGTATTAGCTTTCAAATGCAGTTGGAATTTAACTTTTTCATTTTTTGGGCCTGCAAATGGGACATAGTACCTTTAATACAAATGTCTCTAAGCGCTTTACAATTATACTATTACATAAGACCAGCAATAGGACAGAAAAGATTGTGACTAATCAATTATAACCCGTTATTATCAATGCCACAATGCATATTTGCACAGGGAAGATTTTGTGATAAATGTATCTTATAGCAAAGTATGAAATATCATTTTATCATTTCCTTCATCTGGCTAGTTTGTATCACAGATACAAGAATATAAATTGTGAGTTTACAAATAGTCCATGTCAGCTTTTAATACCAATTAGTGTGTATATACACTTATAGGGCGAAATGTATGTTGTATAAATAATACCATATGTCCATGAATGATTGCTTTCACATATGAAGTGGTGCATGCAACTATTATATCGCTCGAAAAAATATTCCTTTCACTCTCTGCCTGCGTGTGTGTCTCTCCATTACTCTGTCTGTCTGTCTTCTTCCATGTGACATATATCTACATCTGTGTATAATCTCTCTCTCTCTCTTTCTTTCTCTCTCTCTCTCTCTTTCTCCCTCTCATTCCAAATCTCTCATCTTTATCCCCCCCCCCTCTCTCCCCTTTCTCTCTCTCTCTCTCTCTCTGTGTTCCTAAACTTGCTAATCTGAATTTACCCCCCTCTCCCCTTTATCTCTCTCTCTCACCCCCCCCCCCCCCCCTTTTTCACCCGCTCTCTCTCTCTCTCTCTCAGTTTCTTAACTTGTAAAACCAAATTTACCCACCCATTCTGATGGTTTCTGTTGCGTTTGGTAGTAACCAGTAAAAACAGAAATGGCCATGCTTTAGAAATTAATCAAGTCAACCAATCAAACTGTAGAATATCAATAATCAATAACATGCAAGCATTTGACCCTAAATAACCACTCGTTGGTACTTTATTTTTAAAAAAGAGGCTTGTATAGAAACAAATCAAACTCTCAAACATACAGTCACATACCTTTCAAAAGTCACACACACACTCTCTCTCTCTCTCTCCTCCTCCTCCTCCATTTCCCCTTTTCTCTCTTGAAAGACAACCACAAAGACACACAGCCTGCACAAATACCATGCTTACATCTTGTTACTGTTTGTGCTGTCAAACATGGTGACGGTGAACTCGGTACGGCCAAGGAAGAGCGTCGAGCTACTGGTCAGCGGGCAGGAGGATTGGCTGGACTCGGTGGTCAACGTCTGCTTCTTGTGGCCAGAGTTGACGTCGACGGCTATCCATGTGTCTGCTTTTCTCCCTGATAGATCACCAGATAAAAATCAGCCATATTGAAAATGAGCACATCTTGCCAGAAGATGGGATCCTTCATATACGATGTTTCACTCCAATCAGTATTCATACAACAATTTGTTTTTGGTTTAGAAAAATTACTCATACAGAAATCATAAATATAATTAACAGTAACAAAAAAATCATCCCAAATCATGTTGTAAATAGACATAAGCGTTGCAGAAGCTACAATTCTTGTCTTCAAATTACATTAATCAATCTCAATTATTACAAATATCTTGCATAATCATGGAGACAAAGTAATAATATAATTACAACCAAATTATTATCTAATGCAATTACATGAAATTGTCTGCAGAGAGCCAGAAAGGTGTTAACTCTCCTTGAAATAATATGAGTTAACAGCCCCCTTCCTATCAACAAACAAAATTATGATTTATTTATTCAACTAAAGATGATGTGTACATGTAAGTAAACAATGTACACATTATAAACATGTTATTGGGGGAATGGAGGCAGCCTACACCTGTACATGTTTATCTCATCTACGCCATTACCCTTACCTGTGTAAAGCATGTTATCTGGCCCTCTGAATGGAGACGATGAAACTATTGATGGAATGGTTAACGGTAGTTTCTGAAAGAAATAAAAAACATTGGAAGTTATTCATTAGAGGGAATTCCAACCTTAAGAGACAACTAGTTTATAAACAGAAATCAGAAAAATCAGAGAAGTAGACTGGTGAAAGTTTGAACATCACACAGCCTTGATTGAAAAGGAGCTCGGAAGAGTTTCATAATTCATTGGAGGAGAGCTATCCCCAATTACAAAGTAGTCCACTGACAAAGTGGCTTAATGTGAGATCGAAGAACAAGCTTACTTTTAGCCCATCACCGCCTGGTCCTAGAACATATAGGGTTCCATCGGTTGGATCTGGTAGGAATGTAAACCCATCAGGATTGTCAACAGCCATCTTGACTACTGGATCTGGAATAAATACACACAAATGAATAAAAAAAGGTTATAACATTAATTAAAAAGAAAAGATTAAAAAGAACATTATATACATGTACATGTATGTCAATATCAGGTACATCCTGAAAAGCATGCATGTTTTTGTTTATATGTTATTTCTGTTGTTGTTGCTGTTGTTGTTGTTGTTGTTGTTGTTGTTTTTTTTTGGGGGGGCACATTTGTACATACATAATTACTGTGTGTGGAATAGGAGATATTCAAGTACCACTATATTTATATGAAAAATGGTGAACATGAATCACACCCATGAATAAGAGATTTGAAATGGGTTGTAAGTTGTAACATGGTGTTGTGGTCCAGTGGATAAGTCTCTGGATCATGAACCACAAGGAACGGAGTTCAAATTCCTGTCACAACAATAATGCTCTTGGGCAACACATTCAACTACATTTGCCACACTCCATCCAGGTAAGGTAAATGGGTACCTGGGAGGAATCAATTCCTTATTATAATGCTTGAGTGCTGTAATGGCAGCTGTACTGAAGCCACAGTTATGATAATGGACCGCTAGGAGTGGCAATGTACCAGACAGCTACATGTACCAGAGAGCTATACAGGACTCCACTATTATCATCATAACTGTTGTTGTTATTATTATTATAGTATTTAAATTAGAAGTACAATCAATCATATCCTGAAGGGTATATTTTAGCATATAAAATCAATTTATAGAACATTTTTGCATCCTTTTTGCGTAGTTTATTTCCAAGAACTGGACAAGTACTTAGAGAGTTTAACCTTTAAAACATACTGATTTTAATGAAACAAAATCGCTGATGAAATCTCCATCAAGTCTGCAACAATAATAATTGTGATAAAAGATATATTCAAGAAGATTTCTTTTCCATTACATGTCAATCATAGTACACATAATAATAATAGTAGCCTCATAGTCCACTCCAAATTTTATTAAACCGAAACGGAAATTCTTTTTGCCCAATTGATCGTGAGCCCAGCAGCCACTGAGCAGCGCCAGATCGACGTTGCTCTATCATGAACAATTTTCAATATTAATGCACCATCATATTTTTACAGGAGAAAAAATGTGTACTTTTCCATGAACCTCACAGCAAATAGAAAATAGGGGGGGGGAATACATGAACTATCTAAAATATTCCCTATTTAAAGAATATGAGACATCTACAATGTAATAGGATAATGACAGTGTTACGATTTAGCTACGATACAAAAAACAATATTGATACATATATACATTTAATTTCATTTTCATAATAATTAATAAACGTTTTTGTATAGCGCATAACACATAGGCATAATTGCATGTCTCTATGCATTATACAGAATAGAATACATAAGGAGTGTAAATGGTTGATTGGGTTCATAATTGTCAGATTTTTACCAAGTAAGTTTTCAAAATATTTCTGATTTTTTAAAATGTTTCTATATTTTCTCAGGTATTCCGGCAATTTATTTGATAATGGGTGGGTATTTATTTAGTATCAGTTCTTTATTTTGGAAACTGAAAGAAAATGTCTGTCTCGATGTCTGTCTTCATGTTTGTCTCCTTGCCTTCCTTACCCTGTACATGCATTTGTGTGGAACTTGAGTGTGGAATTTGAGAGAAGGAAATGGACAGGAAATGGGTATTATCATTAATTAATTAATGAGGAAGATACTTCTTTGAATGCCCTTTCAAGAAGGAAGTTTTTACATGTACATGTATTGACTACACAATACTTGAATGCAGTTAAGTAAATCGCAAGGATTTTTTGCAGTAGCAAACACAAGTAAAATGTAGTAACAACTTTATGGTTTTTCAGCCAAATAGAATATTAAATTTGGGCTTGATTTCTACTATCAAATTTTAGTTTGCTCTTCTTCATTACTGAAACTGGTCCCCGATAAAAGCCAACATCCCCCCATTCATTACTGGTATACACAGTGCATTATTCATTCATTTCATTTATTTACATAATTGCATATAAATGTAAATGAACTATTAGAAGAATGACAACCTGAAAATTGTAATCATAAAGTATAACAGGCATCTTCTTTTTTGCCTTAAATTATAATCCTTTGAGCATATTAAATTATTCAGTTTTAGATAATAGCCTGCCCCTATCTTTAAAAGCATTAATTGTGGGGAAAACTATATTTAATTTGGGCCTAAAATGAGTGCACATGGTATAAGAAATACATGAATACTTCCCCATTATTTAAATATCTACTGAACATACCAGCAGAAATTTACTCATAATCAAAAATTACAAGAAAAGTGTTATTTCCTCTTAAAGGTACTATGTCCCATTTGCAGGCCAAAAAAATGAAAAAGTTAAATTCCAACTGCATTTGAAAGATAATACTAATTTAGAACTTCCCTAAAAAAGGTGGGGCTTGAAAATGTCTTCAAGTGGGAAAATAACAACTATTAGTTGTCAAATCGACTTTAGGGCTATAGAGCCCAAAAGTAATAGTCTTGATTTTCAGACAATTGTACCGAATGGTCATACGTTTTATGCTGCGCAAAGATTCAATCAGTTTAATCTTGGCCATCACAAGAAGTGGGTTATTGATGTAGACAAATGCTCATGTACCCTTTACAACTCTTTTCATGTATGTTATTACCAAACGACTTATATCCCGACACAGCTTCCTCGATTCTGTCCCACCACCTGAACAGAATCCTCCACCATCAGTCAAGCCCGTACTCATCAAAGGTCTTAACCTGAAGTGGCCGGAGTGGCAATGCCTAAATCGAATGCGGACGAGAATGGGACGGTGTAAGGTCAATATGGCAAGATGGGGCTATGCCCATGAAGGAGATACTCTCTGCGACTGCGGAGAGACTCAGACGATGGACCACCTCTTGCAGTGCGGCGGAACGGGTTGCACAGATGAAGACCTGTCCCTTGTTAATGAAACGGCCATTGCAGCAATCGAGCGATGGAAGAACTTAATTTAATTTAATTTACTTCTAAGTTAAGGAACTTTACATTACTATCTTGATCTAAGGAGACACGAACGAACGAACCAAAGAAGAAAAAAGCCAGTCAGTCACTCAATAGTGTCTGACAGTGAAGTCTAGCAAGTAAACGGGTTTCCTTGCATAATTTGAATATGAGGACACTGCTAACGTTTAAATTTCACAGATAGGACATACATGACATATTCATAATTCCTGCAAAGTTCTACAGAATTTGAGGTTGGCTGCAAAAGGGACATAGTACCTTTAACCTCTTTTCTTATCATGCATTGACTGATAAAAATATTGAAATGTGTTGACAGTACTAGTAGTACACAACATGCACAGCTTGCTATATATCACATGCTATAAATTTATTACATCAAGAAATGATGAATCACTGTGCTAATAAATCACAGAAAAAGATGAACAAATTTGATCCATGACTTCTAATGCAACATGGTAAAGCTATTAGGACAAAATATTGTGGGAATTCTTTACAATCACTGCACTTGCTGAACATCTGCTGGTAGTCTCATAGCTGCTTGCTACACAGAGAGCACACAGTCACCAATAAGTATGTATACAGGGATATTTCATACACAAATTTGCATGTACACAATACACAAGTGTATGATCAGTGTCCTTAAACTCCTTGTCTACAAAAGACCACAATCCACATGTGGTTCTTTATTGTTAAAAAATGATATGGAAGCTTTAAGGTGACAAAGAATTCTGAATTATATTTGTTCCCATAATTACACTTCATCTTCAAGTTAAGATTTCCTTTTCCTTCTTCATTTCCTCCTAGCCTCTCTTGTAATTCTCCTTTTTCTTAAATTCTTCTTTTCCTACCTTTTATCTCCTCCTTCCTCTAGAGCTACCTTATTTCCCCTTGCATTTTCTCTTCCTTTAAAAAAAATCTTTCTTTTCTACATTTTCCAAATTTCATTCAAGTCTAAAGTGCTAAATAGTTACCATAGCTTTAAATTCTGAAGATGTCAATAAAGAAAATGTAAAGAAAAGGCAAGCTAAAAAAATTCTCAATTTCTATCTCCTAGACAAACTTGTTTTATCTGCTTCCCCTTTCTGATCACTTCCTTATATTAGCGCATCACTTAATATGTAATAAAGCTTAAGTTTACCCAGGACATCCAATCACAGTGTGTAATTTATTTAACATAGTTGCTTATCGCAAAAACTTTGATTTAAGCATGTACGCTAGAATAACAACAATATCAAACATAAGAAGTACCAAAGCATCAATAATAATATTCATGACACCTAAACTAATATTACAATAGTTAAATTGATAAAACTATAAGGTTTTAAAGGTATAGACCAGTTTTGGTCATGCGATTGGATTGTGAAAGAAACGTTGTGAATCGATCAGAAAAGGTTGATCACCTAGCGTATTGGTGTGTACTGCAGGATTCTGGAATCATCAAAGTGAAAAGAGATTTGGCCCAGTGTTGGTAAAGTTACAAGCACTGTACACAGAAAGCTGTATATGGGACTACGCAATATCTATCCAGGCAGGATCAATACGATAATTTACCAAATATATCAATTAGTAGGTGGTTTCTCAGCAAAATTTGTACAATCAGGTAATTAAAGGAAAAAACTCTGTTCTATTTCTCATTTACTTCACCTGGGTTAAGAGCGGCAAATGTGGATTGATGCCTTACTAGAGGGCATTACTCAAAGATATTTTCATCATTACTGAAATACATATGAACTCCATGACTGATTACCTTCTTTTAATGTCCAAATTGTACGACCTGTGCGTTGATTTAAAGCATGCATGCTGCCATCTAGTGTTGACACAAGAAGCAGGCCATCATGACCTGTGTATGGAATGGAGAGAGGGCCCCCAGCATCTCCCTGAAATGTAAACGAAATATATTATTAACCTACCAAACCCTTCAATTATGAAACTAACTATAGTATATTACTTGCAATATGTAAGGAATGAAAATAATTGTAGAGTTGGGGTGTGGTTCTGTCTGTGACATAGAATTTTTAGAAACAGCGATAACAAAAATATGATAAGAAAATAACGATAAAGAACGTTTATTAAATCATACATACAAAATGATATAGGCTTGGTCTACACTCTACATGTAACTGACAAAATGCAAAAAAAGAAATAGAAATTCTGAAGACTGCCTACATGTATGTTGACAAATTAAGAACACAGATATGGACAATTGGACATACATGTACTTGTCATAACAATTTTGTATTCACCAAGCAACTATGTTTCACACCAATAGCCAATAACTCAATCTCTTTTCTTTATTTTTTTTTCTTTTTCTTTTTTGGGGTAAAATTTTCTAGCTACTCTGATACAGTAAACAAAAGTAATATCATACAGACTGAGCAAAATTGTGTTAATTAACTGAATACAAATAACTACAGTACTGTATGTCCAAGAAAAGAAGATACTCTCTGAAATCAACTGCCCTGGATCATCCATATAGCACCTACATGTACATGTACACTAGTATAGTTTAAGAAGCACTTGAAGACGTATTTATTCAACTGATTTTGCCACCATCATACCATGTAAAGCGTTGTAAAATCAATTATTGTGTGAGAGCACCATATATTATAGATGACATATTATTATCAATTATTATATTATACTAGGAAACCTTTTTGAATTTTAGATTGCAAAGATCAAAGGAAAGATGCAAGGAAAATGAAAATGTTATTATAAGATACCTTAGTTTTTCCTTCCTGCTTGGCATCCACCAAACAGAACGACATGTACAGGATCACAAGGACGATAAAGAGGATCATTCCAAACTCATTCATGATGATATCGTGTCTCATGTTTCCCAATGGAAAAAAGTCTCTCAACTCAACTCAGATCAGATGTTTGAGTAGCGCCACAAGGCAGAAAAACTGGGTCGTATAGAATGTGTCATCAGTCTATCTGGAACAGAAGGGAAAACATCAATAATATTTCTGAAGCATTTTGTGTCTAAACAACTTACTATGTGAACAATATTTCAGTTAGCATTCTCTCACTGGCGAATAAACACATTTCACACGTTTTACACATGTAGATGTCTCTGGACCATTTTCGAGAACCACAACAAAAAAATCATCATGAACAACAGAAAATAATCAATAATCACGTTTTCAAAGTCGTCCGGAGCTGGGCTCCCTGGAGAAATATGTAGACAGATTCCTTACTTTAGTACATCAATGAGAAACCATTTTCAAGAGAAACAAAACATGTGGTCTTTGTAGACAGGTGGTCACTAAACCAGGTTTGTACTGTCTAATTTCATCTGCTTCACTCAGTATCCGGTATTAAACACAGCTGATCATCAAAGAGCCAACATACACAATGCATCTCTCATTCTCAACCACAACACAACCGGTATACCAACACAACCAGCACTTAGCACAGCTCCACGACCGCGACCTTGCAAGCATGTACTGCCTACTGGCCTAAGAAATCTCTCATTTCATTAGCTTGTACGAATATCGAATATATTTAGCGCCAAACTTTTGTTGGGGATTAATACAAGATATCAACTTCTTTAATATGAATCAAATTAAACAATGAAGAACTCACCAATTCAGATGAAATTCTAGTTGCAGTGTATCAATTCCTAGCTCGCAATTATTACACACTTGACTCGTATGTGAATTACACGTGTAAGGTGTATATTGAACGAACGAACGCTATGTTGTGATCGTGCAGCAGGGCCAGGGGCTTTTTGCATGATGACATCGCACAGTGTACACAGAAGACAGCTGGATTTTTTTAGTCTACACTGTTTAGACCCCGATTCAAGGCATTTTGTAACTTTACTAAAAAGTTTATTTAAAAAGAAATCTTTATTAAAAGGAATGCATTTAGCTTACATGGTTTATTAAGCTGGTAAATTGAAAAATCGCATATCACCCAAATTTTTACCTTTTTTAATAAATGGTGACAAAGGAATGTTTACATTCAGAGGCTTAACGCAAACATATGTAAACAAAGAGTTGTGTTCTTTGTTGTTCAAATTAACTGTTTTGCAGGAAAAAAAGTCTTACAAATGATAATTCCTGGATGAAGTTCAAGAGATATTACAACCAGTACATGTCCAGTATGTTAAATGAGCTCTGTAATAATGGGTATATTCAGTAGCTAGATCTAGTCTATAGCTCTTTTTTAAATTTTTTTTTACATTAATTGTTTTCAATGTTCATTGTGACGTCATAATGGCTACGCGCAACAAAGAGTGGAAACGCCGCATGACGTAACAGTAGGAAATGAATGCATGCGCACGAGCATGTTGGTGGAATACGTCACAATAAGTAATTGATTTGGAACACCCAAAGGTAAACAAAAAATAGTGCAGAAGTTATACTACTGTTAATGTGACATAATATAATGCTGAATAATATTGGATTTAAGGTTCTCATGCAACTAGATATAGGTCAAAACATATAATTAAATGGTACAAAATCAAGTACACCCTGTGTAGCATATCTCTTTGTTTACATAAGGTTTCAATGTTAATTGTGACGTCACAATAGCTACGCGCAACACAGAGTGGAAACGCCACATGACGTAACAATACGGAATACAAGCGCGCACTGCTTTGACAAACTTCAAGGTTGTTTAATTTGTTGTCAAGGTAATAGGTTTGGTAAACCAGTTAGTATTGGACCAAATATATAATCACATTTCTTCGCTTTAAAAAGCAAAAAGATCAGATCATAGAGGAGGCGTGAGATGTTTGTTATTCGAATTGAGGAGTGCTCAGCATCGTCAAAAGGGCACCTTTTGGGGAAAAGGTAAAAAAAAGAAAAAATATAAATTGATAGGCCCACATAGTTAGGCATGTAGTGGACATGGGTACCCTTCTCCTCCTGGCTTCTGATCATCACAGGGATCACGAAAACGTTCTTCAGACACAAATAAACGCTCTATAAAGGTTTTAAAAAGTCCCTGGGCTTTTTGCAAACCCCTTTTGGGAACGTTGTGTGTTTACTGGGATATTAAAGCATTCATAGCCTATCTGCACTAGTTTGGCCAGGAGGGATTAGACCTCCCTGCGTGGTCACTGGCAGGTGGTCTCATCAAAAGGGGACCACGCGCGGGGATCAACGGGTACCACTTAGGCATTGTTGGCTGTATAGAGGGCGCAAGTAGCTACAAGTAGTGCAATCCCGCATCAAATCCTTTTCAGAAAGTCGGGAAAAATTATCTTCTAACGCTTGTACTTCCATACATAATAGACCTGTTATCGTTTGTATCTTTATGTCATTATCTATGTATAATGTAAGAATTCTATTCACAAGTCATGCATTGCTATTAATACTTTATGTTTACCCCGAGACGGGGGGAGGGGGCCGGGGGTCAAAGAGTCAATAAACTTCTACAAAAACTGGTTATAGACTACTCTTTGCGAGCGAGGGAAGTGTAAAAATACAAACAATAAACAAACAAAAGGGCAGAGTTTGATCCAGTCAGAATATAGGGGGGGGGGGGGGGCTTTTTCGGGGAAATGATTTAGGGGATCACGTACATCGCCCTTCCGAGATTCGCACTGTGTGGGTTTTATAAGTGTGTGTGTGTTAGGGGCGGGATTGAGCAACTTTCCCAATATAGAAATGTCATTAACCTCTAATATAATTATCCATTAATATTAAAAGAAGAATCACTCGATTTTTCAAAATTTTAATAAGAAAAATACATCATTTTAAAGGAAACCAAAACCTTCATACTTAGTTACTTTTATTATAAAGTTTAAAGGATTTGAATGTAATCAGTGAAAAATTGAACAAAATCGGGCAAGGAATAAGGAAGTAAGATGTGTGTGTGTGTGTGTGTGTATTGGGTTTTTACAGACGTGTATCAATCAGATATGATTATTTACGTCTGGGACCGACCTTTAAACGTCACCATCCGAAAGAGTAAGAGCTTTTTGAAATGACTAGTCACTAGAGGGCGGTATTCAATTTGATGACATCATCTGTGAACAACTCTCCATGCCTTTTGTACATAAAATTTCACAATTTTTTTGTTTTCTTCGTATTTATTTGCGTTCTTGATCCGACTTCATAACATGTGAAGTAGAATATCATTTTGCATTCTATATCTTGCTTTCGGGGGAGTACATTATCTCAATCACAAGAAAGAAGGGAAAACATGAAATTTGATGTACAAAAGGCATGGAGAGTTAACCCGTAATTTGGAGGGGTGCGGAAAATGAGATTTTAATTTGCTTTTGTGAAATAATGAAAGTGTAAATACTTTTTATTCCTTTATATTTGTATCATTCAGTTTTCCATACATAATAGACGAACTGTAATAATAATAATAATAATAATAATAGCTCGTTCTTATATAGCGCTTTTCAGGACCGGAGGCCCTCACAAAGCGCTTTACAGATAAGTATATTATTACCCCGGTCATTGGATTCAGGCTTACCCGTACACAATGTATGCACATTCTCCACTCCCTGGGGAGCATTCCAGCCAGGCGTCATTTTTACATGCGCACACTTACTAATCTAACCACATTAGCTTTCGCATCCTACCGGGTACCCATTTAACACCTGGGTGGAGAGTGGCAAATGTAGATCAATGTCTTGCCAAAGGACATTAGTGCTGCGGCGGGACTTGAACCACGGACCTTGTGATCCACAGTCCGGCGACTTATCCACTCGTCCACAACACCTCTACAAATTTATTAATTTATATTTATATGAAATATTTTCATTATATTTATTATTGTTTTAACAGTGCTTTAATGAAAAGTAAAAAAGAAGAAAAATATCAATGTTATAATTAAGTAGACCCTACATAAAATTGGATCTAAATGTTTTTATGTTCGATAGGCATAAGTTATCTTTTATGAAAGTTGACACTGATAAAATCAAAACTTGAAACACTGCAGCAGGGTCCATTTTCTGTTAAAACATTTTTTGATCAACAATTTGACTTGGTGTCAGAATAAACAAGTATTGTGAAATGTAGACTATAATATTTCACTTGCAAACTTCGGGGTCATCTGCAACCTGCCTGCAACTGGTAGCTTCAGTGGAATTTAAATCATTCGCTGATCTCAGTATTGGTGACTATACATCGGTGGTTTCATGGATTATTATACGAACCAGCGAACCTCCCCTCTGTTTTGTAGTCTGTAGTCACATACCCTGTATTAAACATCGGCCTGTAATCAAAAGATGAGGAGAGCAATCTAATGCTGCTTTGACAACATATAACATCTTTTGTGCAACAGCTCTGTAACCTATTGGGGTGTCGCTATATATGTAAAAACTGGCCATAATTTGTTTCATATTTGACGATAGACGTTATAATTTTTATTATTTCAGAAAAGTCAGAAAATGTTGCCATTCTTTCGACAGGCTATTGCGAGGACAATTTTTTTAACAGAAAATTGAAAAATGCTCATGGGTGGGCAGGTCTGAAGGGGGGGGGGGGGGGGTGCGCGGATTAAACACGGACTTTCCCCTTTGGCATCTACGTTTCATGACTGAGGTCAAAATGCGAATAACAATGACGTCATACCATTGCATTTCTTCATCCGATAGCAAGCAATCGAGCGGTGAAGTTCGCAGATTGAAAGACACAAATCAGAATATGTGTTGCCGAGTGCAAATGTAAATCAATTATATTAGCGGTTTGGCGACAGCAATACTTTATTAGCATTTTATTTTGTGCCACGGAAATATATTCATAACTCCTTACGAATTCAAAATGATTTATATACAATAGAAAATATAGGTAAAACAGTTGACAAGATACAACTTCGAACTCTGACATAGGGAACGCCTCGGAATCGATTTAAAACAAACAAATATATACAAAAATATTCCACAAAATGAAAAGATTACAGTGATTCAACACTTTTTAATCTCTAGTAAGTGCCTCTTTTCAGGTACGAGAAGTGCCCCTTTTCACTTTTAATAAGTGCCCCCTTCACCTCTGATGATTGCCCTATTCAAAACTGAGAGGTGCTCCTTTTACTTTGACAACTTCCCCTTTTTTCCTTTGTAAGAAGTGCCCCTTCTCCTTTTAATAACTACCCCTTTTTTAAACTCGGATGAGCGCACTTTTTTTCCAATAAGTACCCCTTTTCCTTATGATAAGTGCCCCCATTAAAAAGAGAGAGCTCCTTCCCCTTCTCATAACTTCCCCTTTCCCTTTCTAATAAGTGCCCCTTTTCCTTATGATAAGTGCCCCTATTAAAAAGAGAGAGCTCCTTCCCCTTCTCATAACTTCCCCTTCCCCTTCTCATAACTGCCCCTTTTAAACATCTGAACGGTGCCCCCTTTCTTTTCATTCAACAAATGAACATTTTCCTTTATTATAAGTGCCCCTTTTACATTTTCATAAGTGCCCCTTTTCATATCTGGTCAGTGCCCCTTTGCAACTCTGATAATTCCCAATAATGATACGTGCCCCTTTTCCTTTCTAATAAGAGACCTATCCCCTTTTCACCTCTTATAAATGACCCTATTAAAATCTGATGGGTGCCCCTTTTCCGTCAACAAATGCCTATTTCCCATTTTCGTAAATGCCTCCTTTTCATCACTGGTGAGTGCCTCTTTTCAAGTGAAAAAATGCCTCATTTTCACCTCTTATAATTATCCTTTGTACTTATACACGTGCTCCTTTTCTTTTCTAATAAGTGTCTTATCCCTTTCGATAATTGTCCCCTTTTCATGTAATCATTAAATGTGCCCCTTATTTAAAGCGACTAAGAGCAGTTTCCCCCAAAGTTCGCTCACTGCGCTCGCTCGCATTTAAAGATTATATAATTATGTTACTTATCAAAGGTCTTTTCAGTCTTCCGTTATGAGAATGTGCTTATAACCCCATCACGATTGGCTTTTTTCCTCTTTATAAGATGTAATTTTTCGCACTGCGACCTCACAGATCTTTAAAAATTTTCTCGCTCGCTTCGCTCGCTCGTAAATGCATATTCAGACATCACACCCAACTGTAAAGTTTGATGCTTAAGCGATATCTTGTATGATGTATGAAGAGAAACAAATATTGAAATCATCCCTGAAAATGTAATCACAATGTAGGGGTATATACCAATGTCTAAAAATTGTATATTTTCGCTTTGAGATTTCCCACTGTAGGTGCCCTTTTTTCCAGAAAGTGCCCTTTTTTGTTGGTGCCCCCCCCCCCGCTTTGAAAGTCGCTCGGCCGCCCCTGGAGCGGTATAAATGTCAAAGGTCAAAGGTTAAAATGTCTGAGGTAAAACTGACATATTTACCTCTAACCTGAAATTTTAGCTGACACCGGCGAGAGAGGGGAGGGGTATATTTAAAGCCTAGGGTTTACGTAAATGCCGCAGTCAGAACTTGTCTTCATATTTTTTTTTGGGTGGGGCTGGGGGCAGTATTTTTCATTTTCCTCCCCACAATGCCTTCCTTTTTGCAATTTTACTTCTTTTCTTTGAAGATGCAACTGTCAGTTCGAAGCATTTGGTAGTTAATTGTAATCTTTCTGCCACTCTAAAAAAAAACACGTGACCCCCTCCCGCTTTTTTATTAGAGAGCTTTAATTTCACTGTTGCTGTTAAATTGGCAATGCGAAAATCTTATCGTTAATAACATAACAATCACGCTGCTAATTTCTGTGTTTTGATGTGTGATCACCTTCCGTCGTTGCCGAAAATTGCTGTAAAACATTGCAAATTACCCTAGCTTCTCTGAGACTATAATGAATAAGGCTTCTGATAAATATGCGACTGGAAATTAAGTTTTTGTTAGGTAAGTTGTACCTTTATTTTGATGGACTATTTTGGAGTTACCTGGATAATTCTCTACCGTACGTGTTTGTCTGTTTACTCGGCCTCGCCTCGCCGCTCCTGCAGGCAGACGTTCGGCGCAAGTGCAGGGACAGCTATCGCTGCTCGGCTTCGCGCGTACGCCATACGGAGCAAAGCGATCGAGAGGTACAAACTACAATGTTGTAGATAGAGGCGAACGTCACACATCATATCAGGCCTCAGGGATGTTATTCTTTTATGTGAGCAAGATAATGTTAATTGTCATACCAAATCAAGCACGGACTAGTCATTGGTTAAAAGAGCGAAGGAGGAATGGAAGGAGAGAAGAGAGATTATAAAATGGCTCTAGATTCTAGTATTTTAAGCATCGTGATTGGTCAATACGCGTCACATGACATTGAAAAAATTTTGATGCAAGCACGATTTTGCAGAAATGAGTGCAGAAAAAGCGCAGTAAAAAGTTATATTGCACGGTGCGTACGCGTGACCATGGAGATCCAGTGCGCGCGCGTACGTGTAGTACGCGCTCCCTCGAGTTGCATTGCAATTATTGTAGGCTACGCGTAGCTAATATTGTACGCTCCACCATGATCCCCAGCGCAACGTACGCGTAGCTTAGCTCTAGCTAGCTAGCTAGAGCGGCCAGCGGGGTATTATTAAAAAGCAAATTTTTATTTTACTTTTGCCTTGGATTTAGGCCTGTTTTGACTTTTGGATTTTATAATGAAGCCAGGAATTTCAGCTGTCTGATGTAGACTCGTCTCTAGACACCCTATGCATTTTATTTTTAATAAAACAATGAATGCCGTGGACTTTTTGGTAAGCCTGCAAGGTTTTACTTTTAGACCCTCATTTTAGTCTAGTAGAATCTACTACTAGATCTAGTAAAACCAACATAACTCTAGATCTAGATCGAACTCTCGTATACTTAAGATCTAAACTTTTGTTTGTTGCTGTTTGTGTCGCTATTTTATAAAACAAATAACGCACTTGACCCTGTTGTGCGAAACGTAAATGCAGTGTTCGCTCGGTTTCTTCAGATGGTTCGCACTGTCAACTCGCCGCAAGCGGCTCGTTGCACAGAGCGGCACCAATCTAAAGAAACCTCGCGCGTACTGCATTCACCGCTATTGCACTCTGGGACGTGCGTTATTTGTATAATGTTGCATGGCTAGATTCTATCAATTTTACATTTTTAAATTGAGGTGGCTGTTGCAAAAGGAAATCTTTCCCAAATTATGCTGACTTAACGATAACAATTAATAGCGATTAGTTTAGTGAAGCCTGTAACTGTAAGGCTGTTGGAAGGCGCATGCACAGAGTTTGCAGAATTTAGCGAACTCCCTGTGCTGCGCGCTCCTTTTCAATTTCGGTAAGTATCTAGCTAGTTAGCATCATGAAAACAGGCACTTTTGCGTACACTGCATGTAGATTTATTTGCATTTGCGGCGTTGTGAACACTCATCAGAGAACTTTGTTTTTTATCACACACCTGCACCTGTTAAGCACAAAAAATAATCAGGACTTTTTTGTGTTTGCGATAGGGGCTGATTTTTAGGTGGCATTTTATTTTGGTCGAGTTGCCTCAGAGATTCGAGCACTCGCCTTCCAGCAGCTAGCATAACCAAGACCAAGAAATATACACAATGAATTTAAAGTTGCACTATGCCAGGATTAATGATAGATTTCTCATTCAAATTTTCTTTTCTTTTTTTTCCAATATCGGTGTGTTGAATTGATTGTATTTTACGGCTATTTGGTGCCAATTTTGATTCAATTTTGGCTTGTTTTGTACAGTAGTGTACTGGTGTTTGAGGGTTATAAGAATCAATAGGGGTGTCCTAATACACAAAGTATAGTAATGCTGCTGCTAGTCGGGGTTAGCTATGAAAATTTAAATTTTTAGATTAAATAGATTAAATCTTTAGATTTAGTTTCATTGGTGAAGCATTAGTTAACCATTTGGTCAACTTTTGTAGTGGTACATTTTAAAGTTGCTCCCTTTTTGTTGTTGCTTTTATTGTTGTTATTTGTTGTTGTTTGCTATGTGATTTGTTTTATATTTCTTTATATTTTATTTAGGGGGGGGGGGGGTAATAACCCTTAGCATGAAATTAAAAATTGTATTTTACTTTTAATATTATCAAGTGATTGAACTCACAAATTACTTTACCACAATCACCACTGATAATATGAAAAACCTTTATGTACTTTACAGGTATGACAGACTGATGAAAATAAGATGAGTACTGAAAAGAAACCAAAGCCTCCCAGGCCACCTGCACCCAACCTGGCTGCAAAGAAGAGCATCAAGAAACAAGCATCGTCTGGGTTGTCCTTTAGCTTCAATGACTTGAAGGCAGTGGACAGCGATGAAGAAGACAAGAGTTTTGCTCGCTTCACGAAACCTGAACGGGACGATCCCTTGTCCGACCCGACAAAGATTAAAGAGATGAAGCCCCTGACAAATACTAACCATGACCTCAAAACCAAAGAGATGAAACCTTTGACTCATTCCAACAACGGTGCCACATCTGGAGAGTTCCGACCTTTGCAGAAGGAAGACAAAGACTCATCGTTTGAGGACATCTTTGATGCTGTCAATCGTCTCCCAAGTTCTAAGCCGATAGCCGTGTCAAAACCAGTTACAGAGCAGGTTAAAAAGGTGCAAGAGGAGGTTAAAAGAACAAGATCATCGCCTCCAAGAAGTAGTGGCAACACTGAGAACAGGGAAAGTGATGGCATTAAAAATAAACCAAAGCTCCAGAAGGGAGGGTCAGGCATTTTGAGAGTAGCAACAGAAGTCCTTGAGGAGAAAGAAAATGAATCCTACCAGTTGCCATCAGATTCACAAGAGGCCCTTGCAGATCCTCTGAGCTTCCTTGACAAAGTCATGGAAGACCAACTAGAAAGTAGCTTTGATGATGATGATAATGGCCTTGAAAAGGGTGGTCATGTGAGAAAGAGGAGACAAAGTGGGAATGGCAAGAAGAAGGTCCTTCAACAGCAGCCACGTACTAAGAGCTTGGATGCAGATATCAATCAGAGCAGTTCTAAGGTGGAGCACGAGGACTCGATGGATATCAATCCTTGCTACTTCAATGTCCCTACCCCAGCAGAGCTCAAGGATGAACCCACAAGACGACCAGACAGCATTCCCAACTCTCGATCAGGTCCAAAGTCTCAAGCCAAAGGGATATCTCTCTCTGGTCTTCTAGCCTCCCCAGACATCACAGAAGAAGACAACGAAAAGCCAAGCACCAATGTCAACTCAGATGGCTTCCGGACTCCAGACATGCCTCCGGATGACACTGATTGGGTGACCATAGAAAAGAAGCCTCAGGCGGGCACATCTAGCCCTCCTCCGTCATCCAATCAGCTCCTGTCGCCAGAAGAAGAGAACAAAACTGTCAAAGCAACTCCTCAAGGCCCCTTCCCATACTTGCCCTTCTACACCCTCTATACCCTAACATTCCTAACCTTTCTGTACTTCATGTTCCCTCTGCCGACCTACATCACTGGCTTCCTAACCGGTCTCCTGTGTTCCTTCTACCTTGTGCTGTTCTTGATCTGGATGAACCTGCCACCGACGGACAAGTCTTTCAAGGAGACGGAGGGTACTGGTGGGGGCCCTCCTCTTGTCATCCCAGGGCCTCGCCTGACCGCATCTAAGATCAGGTCCAAAGAACAAGAGAAAGTCACCTTGAAGGTAAGCATGTTATGTCTTTGATATCCTCCAAGGTATTTTATAAGTTTTTATTTTTCATATTATTATTAATTTACAGTTTGCATTTTTCTTCTTCAGGTATATCATTATTATGCATGCTAGAATGGAAGCATGGCTTTGAATATTTGTGGTATCAACAAGTCAGTGTAAACATACTTTGCTCAATTTTTTGCCATCTGCATGTACAAAGTTGAAGACACATTCTTGTATACTGCTGTGCCAGTGAAAATCTGAATAACGCATTGCCATAGATTTTACTGTTCCAATTTTATGAGATTATATTGAAACCTAAAACATTTTGTTGATTATTGCACCAGTTTATATAATCCTTAAAGCAGTTTGCATAGTCAGGACTTTAGACCTTGCTGATAAATGAAAGTATTAAAATAATGTAAATCTGTAAGAAGGGGGCATGCTTGCTGTACAAAAAAAGAGTAGATCACCATTGATCATGCTCATGTAGTGTGTGTGTTTGTGTAATGTCATCATGATTATGCCACAGAACATCTGAGAATATGTTTTCAGACTCCTTCTTGTTTGATTTATCTGTATCCTAAGCCATATGGATTATCCTAAGCCATATATGGATTAGATTACAATTCCTTCTCACAATATGAACTTTCACAGTATTCAAGGTGGTGTACATGTAATGTACATGTACATGTAGCTGGTGTCAGATATCGTCTCGAGCAATCAGTCAAAGTCTGAAGGATGATATTGAGTTTCATCTGTTTATAGATAATGACTTGGCCATATTGTTCTCCAGTCAGGATTCAGCACCAGCTAATTAATATGTTACAATGAAATTGTGGTCTGCATCTAGAATCAATATACCTAGACAGGAGACACTAGATTTGACAAGGTTCCTTTGATATTAAATTAATTATGCTTCAGTCATGTGCTTGTATTAATTAGACTACTGCTGAAGCTAAATTTCAAAAGAAATTTATCTAGCCAGCAATTCACCTCATCATATCAAATCAGTGACAAAAATGTGTTCACGTAGCTGTACTGGCATTCATTGTTATTAAAATATAGTGCATTTGTGCTACATGTACATTTATTAAGATGGACCATTGTACAAGTGTTTAAGTATTTAATGCCCGCCCCCCCCCCCCACTCAGTGTTATTTAGGGTACGCATATGCGTGTTCCCAGCACCCCCCTTTCCTTTTCATTGAATACAATTAATTATTAAATTTAGGGGTTAAATTTACATACATAGGGCCTTTCATGATGTACTGTACATTGTTAGCTGACATTGACATTACCATTTAGACTTCTGGGCAGGACTTTGTACACCACTGCATGTGCCCTATATCCTTATCTTTAAAGTGTTGATTGTTGACAAATTGTTTGCACTTGTCTTTGATATGAAATAAACTGGAAGTCATTCACAAACTTTATAGGAGCTTATTATCATTGGCTTTATATAGTCTTAAACAAGATGCTTGCTCTTAATGAATACAAATTACAAAATCCCTAATACATTGGCAAACCTTGTGTTATATAAGTTCCTTTACCATATCCTGAATCTCAAGAGTAAATAAAGATTTCCTTTCATAGTGTTGAAATTATTAAACTCTGTAGTAAATTATACAAAATTTCCAATGTATAGAATTAGAAGTGACTATTTTAAAAACATACATGTACACAGTGGTACATGCACATACAAAGACGTATATTACACTGTAGCACATATGATATGGCCCGGACAGTTAGACTTAAAACTTCAACAATTTCATGAACTTGTTTGTATTCTTTGCAATCATAGCATATAGGCATACTGTACTCACTAATCTTTTTTTTTTCCACGGCAACAATGTATGTACATGTATTGCTTTAATGTATGTATGGCTTCAACTTAAGGTTTGCAAAATGGTTCTTTTTTTCACTAAATATATTTAAAATAAGTGGTACAAATTTTACTTAAAAACATCATTGAAATGTTCCTGCCATGTTTGTTTGAGACACACCTACATGTATAATACATTTATGTACCCTGTACATACTGTATTATACAAGTAAGTAAGCCTTTTAGATGCAAAGCTAATATTTTACCAGCGATCTCCCTGGCAAACATCCTTGGCATTTGCCTTTTCATTCTCATCATTTTAACCCATTTTTTTACAAGGAACGCATGGTTTCTTCAAAATGAAAGCGAAACCAAGTTAAAACAAACATTCCCCTAGCCAGTTACCCAGTCTGATCAATATCAGAATTCCCCAGTCGCTAAAAGACGCTCACTCTATTAGTTTGAACACATTATCATATCATGTACACATGTCTAGCCTGTAGGTCATTACGTGCTGTATCAAACCTTTGGAGTTTTGTGAAAAGTGGAATGCCAAAATGAATTATGTGATCATACAGAAAAATAAAGGCATAACTCAGCATGGAATTGCTTTTGAAAGGTCAAAGTACATGTACTTGTGTTATGTACAAAGCAAATTGTTGCCGATCAAATTCATTTTTTTTTCATGTCATGGAGTGCAAATTGATGCACAGTAATTGCTGTCAGTAAGCACATGTGTACTTTAATTAGTGGATTTTTTCCTCCCTGAACTATGACCTCCATTGTCACTTGGCATTTGTCTTGTATAATTACATTTTTTTAACTTTGACATATATTGAATGTGGTGGTGGTTATTTTACCTGACTGCTAAGAAAGCATAAATGCTTGTAATGAAGCAACCTGACGGCCAACAGCTTTAGGTCCTCTCTGAGGGACCTGGTAATGAGGATTAATGCCTTACCAAAGGGCACTAACGCATCAACTTGGTTTCGAACCCGGGTCACCAGATCACGAGACCACTGCTCTACCGACTGAGCTATCGTGCCTCCTCTTTCAAGTACATACATGTAAACATGTACAGTTAAAGGGCAATCTAACCCTTGTAAAAACTTGATTTGTATGAAAGCAGAAATATAACAGAATGGCAAAAGTTTTAAATGAATCGGACCAATAGTAAGGAAGTTATGAATGTTTGAAATATGAGATCACTAAGTCTATGCGAATCTCAAATTGGTAGTTTGGTCAGTGGATTGTGGTGTAGGATGTGGTGGATAACTCTCCCATTTTCTGTGTATGGTTTTAAATTTCTGAAGTTGTATCGGTAATCAATGAATCACAAATTGGTAATGTTAATTGAGATACATGTACATACATGTACAGGGTGTACATGGATCTTGAGAGGTCCACTCTCATGTGCTAGATGTACATAAAATTAAACAAAATTCATTATCTTACTCATTGATGAAGTACATAAGAATCGATTCATACTGTAGGAGCTGCATAGAAACATATTTGCAATAATTCTTTTCAATGTGCATGTATGATTCAAATTTTCTTTAGGGAAATAGAAATTTCTGAATTATTAGTACCAAGCAAATTGGAGGGAACCTTGCAAGATTTGTCACAGACCTTCAAAAAATTAATTACTTTCTTATTTGTAATCATATTTTATTCAAACTTTCACTGACCTGTTCCTCTCTTTTGTCTACTTCTATTATAAAAAGAAACAATGTAGATGTGGACTCCCCCTTTAATGCACTTTAGAGCTCTCATTTCTGTCTCGCGAGCGAGATCTTAAGAATACTCGAGTTCAGTGGGATGGATCGCTTTAATCACCTTAGGAATATCTCCCCAAGACAACAAGCTCCAGTGCATCCCTACTTTACGTCTACAGGGCCTTTCTAAGCCTCCACCCATAATCACAACTTGTGCGAAGCAATTTGGTGCTAAATGAAGCAAGCGTCAATATTGAAACCTCGCTCAGCTTTCCATCCATGCCAGCTCATGTAAATCAAAGTTTAAAACGATGCTTAATCCCTTCAGTTAGTTCAGTACATATGTTCCTTACTTGTAACTCCAAACAGTTATCTCTATGTCTCACGATACAAACAATATGCCATAGCAGTGTTAAAGGGGTTAAGATCGATCTTTACTGGTTCTTCAAAGAGAAGGTTGAGTTCGGGGAAGAGGTGAAAAATAATTTGTGAGTGTTATCATTGTTATTATGCAAGTGTGGAAGAACATCAGATAAAAAATGTTCCCTGAAAAGCATGGCTCTTCAAATGCCTTCATATTTTAAATATATGGCATGTAACAGTATAAATATCGGGACTGATTTTTATGTCACATGTTTATGTAGTCCCATGTACATGTTTCTGTGTAAAGTGCTTGTTACTTTACCAAGACTGGGCCAAATTTCTCATCATTTTGATGATTCCAGAACCTGGCAGTACACACCAATACTACAGCTAGATGATGAACCTTCTCTGATCGATTCCAAACCGTTTCTTTCAGGATGCAATCACATGACCTAGGGGGCATTTCACAAAACTTGTCATTGGTGACAAATGACAGTTTTTGTTAATAAGCTACTGAAATCCTCGCTTCTGATTGGTTATCAGCAGATTTGTCACTGATTTTTGTAATTTGTCATTGAAAAAAGGCTTCGTGAAACGCACCCCAGAACTCAAATTTATCTTTAAAGATAAAGTTGAGTTCTGGTCATGCGATTGCATCGTGAAAGAAACGGTGTGGAATCGACCAGAAAAGGTTGATCATCTAGCATATAAGAATTTGTGTGTATTGCAAGGTTCTGGAATCATCAAAATGATAAGAAATTTGGCCAAGTCTTGGTAAAGTTACAAACACTGTAGACAAAAAGATGTACATGTGTATATGGGACTACATGAACACGTGGCGTAAAAATCCTACCCTGGATTTGTACGATGTTACATGACATATTTAGAATATGGAGGCATTTGAAGAGCCATGCTTTTCAGGGAACATGTCTTATCTGATGTTCTTCCACACTTGCATAATAAGAATGATAACGCTCACAAATTATTTTTCACCTCTTCCCAGAACTCAACTTTCTCTTTAAGTTAGAGGTGTGAATGCACAAGGGGTTCCAGTCTACTGAGGAGTTTTTGCACACTTCACTGGAGCTTGGGATTCAATCAAGCAATTTCCCCAGAGAGACTTATCTATTCCCCCTACAAGTCTGGAGGTCTGCACAAAATTTGATGATAATGAAGGAGCGAGGAGAGAGAGAGAGAGAGAGAGAGAGAGAGAGAGAGAGAGAGAGAGAGAGAGAGAGGGAGAGAGAGAGAGGAGAGGAGAGGAGAGGAGAGAGAGAGAGCATGAGAGAAGAGAGGAGGAGAGAGAGAGCAAGAGAGAAGAGAGGAGGAGAGAGAGAGAGAGCATGAGAGAAGAGAGGAGGAGAGAGAGAGCAAGAGAGAAGAGAGGAGGAGAAAGAGAGAGAGAGAGCAAGAGAGAAGAGAGGAGGAGAGAGAGAGAAGAGAGAGAAGAGAGAGAAGAGAGAGAGAACTTAGAGAGAAGAGAGAGAGAGAGAAGAGAGAGAGAGAGAGAGAGAGAGAGAGAAAGAGAGAGCTAGAGAGAGAGAGAAGAGAGAAGAAAGAAGAAAGGAAAGAGAAGTAGATGTAGAAGAAGATTGAACAACCTTTTACACAAGAGGATAAGGGACTCCGTCAGGATTTCTATGTTGTTATTGACAACTGAATTTTCTCAAAGCTTTGATACCAAATTTAAAGTAGTCACCCAAAGAATCAAAAGTGTTTTGAATTGATGCAAAATTCATATCATTGTGAAATGTGAAGGGGAAGCCTTTCTGATCAAACATAACAATTTCCCTCTTCAAAATATGTTTGGGGCCCGCAGTAATCATCTCTCAAAAATGTTAATTTTGAGATCCAGATTTTCTGCCTTCAGCGATCCTCCCTAAAGCGTCAAGAAAATCTTCCCATCCATATATAATTTGTCCATAATTATCAGTTGTCGTGAATTTTCTTCGATTGACTACTTAGTATTTGGATGAAACTTTTCTTACTGAACTTCTATTCAAGATCATATCTACAAGGGGACATTGATGGTTCTCTTAGAAATTTTAACTTTAAAAATGATTTTTATGATGACAGAGAACACTCTGTCAAAGCTGTTGCTGAAAGATGGCATTCAATTATTTCAATGTCATGTAGCATAACCTTTGTACAAGTAAAATAAAATCGATTTTGTAGAGGCTGATGAGCTTTCAAGTTTAGAGAAAGTCAGTTGATCCTGTTGTAGGCAATATTAAACGGAATGTAGAAAGAGAGCAGAAAACCTTGCACCACAACAAAATCAGGGCAGCATTTCACAAAACCGTTATAAGTACAAGTTCACCGACATCTCTCATTGGAACGCTTGTATTAAAAAGTGACAATTGTGTCGCTGGAATGTCGGTAAACTTGTATGACAGTTTCATGAAACGATGCCCACATTCTCTTCAGTCTGATTAGAAATCCACTGTTTGATCACGGTGAGCGAGGACCATATCATTTTTCGTATTTTTCCGACATATATCCTGATATTTCGCTTTACGTTTATTCAAATTGATTATTTCATTCCTTTTCCTCCACCAAGAATGCCCAGGATTGTTATCATTATGTTGAGCATCCGACCATTGAAGAGGTGAACCGCAGTTTAATACCTGAAGTGTCCATTTTGTTTTTATATACCAGTATATTTTATCCCCCTTGTGTGTTGTGGACTAATTGTTAACAATAGAAAATCTGTTTAACCGTAGTTTCAAATATGTGAGTAATAATAATACCATGACTCTGTACATAAACAGTACGTGATAAATATAAATTATGCGCATTGTAGATTGATTATTCGTAAATGATACAAGATACATTTACATCCTGAGACTGAAAACATTTCATGTGTATACTGTATGGTGTGATGTGACAATAGACTTTTCTTTCTTTTATATTATCAGATATTAATCCTGAAATCATTATTTTCTTCTTTCAAAAAAAACTTTTAATTTAGTCATTGTAGATAGAATTAACTATTGACGTAAGAATTGCTGTTTGACCCCTAACCAAAAAGTAGTCCATGTAGGTTTGTAATTAACTCTTTTTCCTTTCTTTAAAGGTACCATGTCCCTTTTGCAGCCAACCTCAAATTCGGTAGAACTGTGCAGGAATTATGAATATGTCATGTATGTCCTATCTGTGAAATTTAAACGTTAGCAGTGTCCTCATATTCAAATTATGCAAGGAAACCCGTTTACTTGCTAGACTTCACTGTCAGACACTATTGAGTGACTGACTGGCTTTTTTCTTCTTTGGAAATAACATACATGAAAAGAGTTGTAAAGGGTACATGAGCATTTGTCTACATCAATAACCCACTTCTTGTGATGGCCAAGATTAAACTGATTGAATCTTTGAGCAGCATAAAACGTATGACCATTCAGTACAATTGTCTGAAAATCAAGACTATTACTTTTGGGCTCTATAGCCCTAAAGTCGATTTGACAACTAATAGTTGTTATTTTCCCACTTGAAGACATTTTCAAGCCCCACCTTTTTTAGGGAAGTTCTAAATTAGTATTATCTTTCAAATGCAGTTGGAATTTAACTTTTTCATTTTTTTGGCCTGCAAATGGGACATACCCAGAACCAAAATCCAGTTGAAACCAATTGGAACAAAACCAATTGAAACCAGTTGCCAACTGGTTTCAACTGGGAAATTGGAACAACTGGTTCCAATTGAAACCAGTTGAAACCAATTGCCAACCGGTTCCAATTGAAACCAGTTGAAACCAATTGCAACAAGGAAGGCATTACAATTATATATGTTTGTATTTGATGTATTTTGTACATGGTTAGTGTTTTACTAATCAACTTTTAGTCTGTGTAATTACAAAAATATGTTACTAATGAACATGCTTATCATTGCTTATTAATCTTTATATTTATCTAAAATAAATGCATTACTTGCAAATGAAAATTAATTAATAAATACATTGTAAATCAAAATAAATTACATAAAACATTGATCTGCACACAAGAAGATAATATGCAAATTAACTGGTTTCAATTGGATCCAGTTGGGTAACTGGAAATATTTCCAATCGGAACCAATTGGGTAACTGGAAATGAATTCTAACTGGAACCAGTTGGGTAAATGGAAAATTACTTCTAACTGGAAATGAATGCTAACTGGAACCAATTGGGTAATTGGAAATGAATTCTAACTGAAACCAGGTGGGTAACTGGAAATGACTTCTAACTGGAAATGAATGCTAACTGGAACCAGTCGGGTAACAGGAAAATCATCTTACTGTTTCTAGTTGAACTTCTAACTGGAACCAGTTGGGTAACTGGAAATGACTTCTAACTGGAACCAATTGAGTAACTGGAAAAATTACCTTATTGGTTCCAGTTGCACTTCTTATTGGTTTGAACTGGAAATGAGTACCCATAATAATATTTTCCAGTTCGCCAATTGGTTTCAACTGGAAATTTTCTATTCCAATTGAAACCAATTGAAACCAATTGAAACCAGTTGAAACCAATTGAAACCAGTTGGAGATTTCAACTGGTTTCAATTGGATCTTGGTCCTGGGTAGTACCTTTAAGTATAAATTATGTGCTACATTGTATCTCAAAGTTTGACCCGATAGTCCAATAGTGTTTGTTCATTATTCCTAAATGTTGAACTCTACATGTAGTTCTTTTTGCAAACTATATTGATGTACATGTACTGTAGCTGTTTTATGTGAGTATCTGTCATCTGGATTTTTGATAAAAGATGTCAAGTGTAAAAAAATACCTGATATTTATCACATCTGCAATTTGTGATCACTTTGAAACCACTTTATGGAGATAACATTTTTATATCAGTTGTCTCTTGAGTTGATTTTACAACAACAATAAGTAGACTTTGTACCAGCCTGCTTTGCACATTACATGTGTTAGAGGTAATGCACTTTTTAAGCTTAACAGCAAACATGTACATGATCATCGTTCATCACCCTTTGACATTCAGATTACGCATTTCGATGAGAAAAGTGTAAGGTTTGTTGTAAGTTTGTAACACATTTCAAATTGTTATTCTTAGTGTCAGTAATTGTGGGTTTAGTTGATAATTTTCCTTTAATTTTATTTTCTGCTGTTGATATACATTTTTCTATATATTTACAATTCAAAGATTGAATGAAAGAATAAATCATTACATTTCATTAGTAGCTAATTATTATCCAATATAAAAAGGGCTGTATTAAATTAATACATTTTGGGGAGTTTTTTAATTTGTTGCTCTCTTTTTACTGTCACTTGTACATGTACCTTTGAATCAACCAACCTGTTTTTATAACATGTATACAAGGATGTTAAAGGTTGCCTCTTTAAAATTAATTGTTATGATCCAAATAATGGGTAATGTGATTCCGTATTTGCGTTCTATGAAATATTTCATTCTCAATGTCTTCTTTTGTTTTAATGCCAGGGGAGGGGGGTGCTTCACAAATACTAAGATTGACTTTAAGTTTGACTAAACTATGGCAGGCCTTTCATGCCATTGTTTGCTCTCACCATTATGATCTTTAGATAATATTTTTCCTTCAATAGTGAATTATAATCATGTAAATTCTGTAGATTTGTTACCGTGATTTACATGTACGTCCCTTGAGAGACCAATGCAAATTCCAACTTAGTCAATCTTAGTCTTTGTGAAACACCCCCAGGTTAGTATTTCAGCATCAGTTCTCATCAGCAGGTGTGATGAGGTTCATGTCAGTTTATGTTGGGGTTGGATGTGAACAATTGCTCAGCATTATGGCAATGACAAAAATATTTGATACTCGTTTGATTTGATTTAAGTAATTATAACTAGTTGATTTCATGTTAGTTTACTTTGGGGGTAGGTTGTAAATTATTGCTTAGATTAATTAGTAACATATGATAATGATGAACACATTTGATACTGTAATTGTTAATGATTGATTTTATGATCTTCTTATCCACAGGGCTGGATGAATGAGTTAACCACACCTTATGATCCTGAAACCTACCACGTCAATCAAACACATTCCATCTATGTGCGCCTCGAAGGCCACAGCCTGAGACTGTCCAAACCAAAGCAGAATATAGCCCGTAGGTCCATGTTTGACGAGCCTACACCCCGTCCAGAGTTCATTCACCAACGTATCTACGACATACGGGGTAGCCACGTGTACCTCCAACCTGAGGGTCTCGTGAAGAAGCGCTTATGGAGTAAGAAATACCCGCTATTCATAGAGTTACCAAAGAAAGGGATTTCAGTTGAGAAGAAGGACGTCTCGCCTCCGGACGATGAAGCAGCTCAGGGTTTGGGCTTTGATGTCATCAAGAAAGACGAATGCGACGACAAGGTCTTGGTGTTGTTTGCAAGGACAGGTCGCGAGAAAGAAGAATGGTTTTGGAAGTTTGAAGCGGCGTCGCTCGCCACCAAGGTCCGTCCAATCCAAACGCTCCACAAGAAGGTGTTTCTCATTGGGAACGACATCATCGGGGAAGACGGCAACCCCATGTACAGGGTGGACCCTGACGACATGACGTCCCGCAAGTCCATGGTGGACTTCTACAAGTTCCTTGCCAAGGTGATGCCCAAGGAGAAGGATGTCAAGGAGCTCCTCGTCCAGGACGTGAAGGCCAAGGCTGGGGGTGTGACCTACGCCAGCCCTGGTCGTCGACCAGGGAAGAGCGGATCAGAGCGGGAGATGAGTAGCATACCCGGTGCAATCAGCAACGATGCTCCGGTAGCTTGGGTCAATGCTTTTATAGGAAGGTTCTTCTGGGACTTCTTGAGAGAACAACAGTGGGCGGACCTCATCCAGACCAAACTACAAAAGAAGCTTTCCAAGTTAAAGGTAATTATAATAATATTAATAATTAGATCAATTTATCTTTGTAATGTATGTTATTTTGTCTTTATATGTATGCGATATTGTATGTTATTTTATCTAAATGTTTTTTATGATGAATGAAATGATTTTCGACTATCTAATCTATCCATCTATCTACGCTGTATATAGCGCATCTACCGTATAAACTCTACTGAGCTGTGATGAAAAACAAAACTCTTAACAGTGCTACTTTACAGACACACAATAACGAAATAATATAAAAACTATTCAAAAGCTCCTGAAAACAATCTGTGCGTCTTCAACAAAACTTTGAAGGCAGCAACAGATGAGGCTTTTCTTATAAATGTCTAGTGATATTTTATTCCAAAGCTTTGAAGCGGCACAACTGAAAGCACAATCTACCAAAGATCAAAGATAATAATTTAGGTAAAAGATAATTTGTCAATTTCTTTATTTGAATTATTCCAGTCATTGGAATCTCTATTCTTTCAACTGAATTTAATGCAATTTTCAACTTTCCCAATGATTCATTGAAGTAAGAATCCTCACCTTGGATTAGAAAATTTTGACTACTAATTCATAAAACAAATTTTGCACTGATTAAATTAAATTTCAGTGATATGTACATTTATAGATTACTGGTACATTTGCACGTGCATCAACCACACTTGTTCTGTTCCACTAATGGCGTTTTTCTTATTCCTTGTCTAATTCGAAAGGTCATCTTTTGTTAAATAAACTAATTATGATAATGATATCCATACACTTTATACTAAATAGCCCCTGGCATGCCGTGTTTCACTTCCATTGAGGTACCAGGGGTAAATATTTGCGTGAGCGCAGGTTCAGAGAGGATTTAATTAATTGAAATCATTCCACGGTTAGAGAGCAAATTGATTATTTAGATCCAACTTTACGGATAAGATATTAAACGGAAGACTACTGAATGGTGTGAGAGCATATTCAGTGAGGATTTAATTAATTGAAATCATTGCACTAGTGATTCCACAGTTGGAAAGCAAATTGATTATTGAGATTCATCTTTAATGGGTAAGATATTAACAGGAGACTGCTGAATGGTTAACTTATAAACAGGAGCAGTTCTAGAAGAAGAAATGTTTAGGGGTAGGGGTTTTGGGGGGAGCTTTTGATTTCTTGGGAATTCTTGCATTCATTCTCTGCATGTCCCTTGTATAAATTTATTTATTCTCAAGAAATTGGAGGAGGGGTTTCTTTAATATTTTTTGTTGGGAGGGGGAGTGGGGGATAGCTGAGCCCTCCTACCCCCCTGTAGAACCACTACTGCTCCTAAACTCACATTATATTATCTCCTCGGTCTCCATATCAATGTGTAAGCCTGCAATGCAGATATGTGTTTATTTGTCTTTTTCAATTCAATTCAATTTTATTTCACATCTCTTTAAAAACACATCAAAAGATGTACAAAAAAATCATTATAAATTAAAACAATATAAATATTTAAAAATAAATAAATAAAAAATCCTCTTCATTTTCTTCTAATGGAAAGCAAATTGGCAACAGTATTATGCAATAGTTCAGTTTGCAGAAACCATCTAGGTGTGTACATACAAATTACCTTGTAAATAAACCCATTAGGAGTCACTCATTAGATCATGTCACCCATTACACTGTAACTGTGGACGCAGTGGTAACTTTCATGATATCAGGGGTATTGAAATATTCTTTCACACTGATTTCAATACAGAAAGAGAAACTATGAAGATGAAGCAAATGACATTTCCCATGTTTTTGGTGTTATGGCAAGTGAAACAAAATGGTGTCTTGGGAGCATGGTCAGGTTGTATCTGGCAGTTTACACATGTAGTTGCCCCCCACCCCCCCCCCCCAAATAAAAAGTAAATAAATAAAATAAAAATAATAATAATAATAAATAAATAAATAAAAAATAAATAAAAATAAATAAATAAATACTAAAAATGGGAGGCTTACCTGACAAAACCATTTTTGTAAAATGCTAAATTATGTTCTAGTATATATAAAAGACAAACCAAAACCACAAACAACCCACAGAAACAACCTAATATATTCCCTTTCACATGCTTGTTTGTTCAACTTAATTGAAGAACTAGCAAAAAATGAAAAGGGACTGAGGGTTTGATCGTTTGGACAGGGGATCATTTATTCATTTCCCCAACATTTCCACGAAGACCTGTTTCCTGTTCTATCCATACATTTTGAATGCTTTGATTAAATATAACATACCACAAAGCTTTAAAGTAGCTCCATGAATGTACATGAATATACATGTACATACACGAAATACATGTAGTTCTACACACACTTCAGCAGTTTGCAATTTATTCTTGTGTAAGAATGGATCAATGGGTACTGACTGCTTGGCTGATATGCAGATAAAGCCACAATAAAGATGGAAAGGTTAACCTTACAGTTTTAATACTGTGTGTAAAATGCAACTTATTATAGGTTGACCTGACCTGCATTTTTAAAAACATAATACAGGTGTACACATAAGTACAGACCTACATTGTAGCCTTCCCCACATAAACATGCTTCATTGATTTATTTCATCACATATTTTCTATCTCTGATTATGTTAGATTCTACAAACATGAATGCATAGCATTGCTAGTGGGGATACTGGTAACAAATTTTCCCTTTTCCCCCTTTTTTCCATTCCCCCCCCCCCTTTTCCTCCCCCCCCCCCTTTTCCTTTTCCCCCCTTTTTTTCCCCCTTTTTTTCTTTTTCCCCTTTTTTGCTTTTCCCCTTTTTTCTTGTTTCGAAATAGTGTAAACCCGCATCTGTTTTTGCTATTGAAACAAGATAAAGAAAAATAATGTAGAATTCTCTTTCACATCCTGGTCATTGCATCAGAGTTATTTCTACCATAAATCACATGTAGATCAAAGTTGTTTTTCAAAATATACAATACTTTTGATACTTTCACTTTCTCTGTAGGAGACAATGAATCCTGTTTTCAATGTATGAAACTGGTTTCTTTTAAAGCAATAAATTTGTATTTTAAGATTTTTGTAAACAATTTGATTGAAGTACTTCCTCTTATAAAGATCTTCTATAAATTTCTGTATTAAGGTATAAATTTAATTTTAAAAGATTTAATTTTTGAGAAGTTGGAAGAAGGTGAAGTATTTTTGAAAAGTGTATAAATGTACATAGTTTTCTTGAAAGGAATTTATACGCAATGGTCGCCATTCCACATTTTGTAGCAAAAAAGTAAATAAAAAAATAAGAGGAAGAAATAAAGAAAATAAATAGTGGAACAATAGTTTCTAACCATGATGAAAGAATCCACAGGAACCCCACTAATCTGAAAATGAAATCTCAAACCTCAAATCTCAAAAATTAATGAGGGAAAAGAATTCATGCTGATATCATTGAATCCCTTTCTACAATCATAAAATTCTTTTGATGCTCAGGGATAATTTTACTTCAGGAAAACTTACACATTTTCTTTGTATTGACCTCATTAGGCCCATTTACACAGCCCAAAAACCATTTCTAAAAAACATCAATTTTTAAAAACTGCTACATTTACACCACTGGAAAATGGCCCCAAAACGTTGAAGTTTGTTCACACTGATTTTTTTATGAGTAGTGCGCATGCGCCACTCGTTGATACCCTTCATGCGTTAGCACGGAAGCAAGGAGGGTCTCATGAACAAAAAATCAGTATCTTACCAAAGTTTGCATTTACACTGCAGTAATCTATGAAATTTCTGTAGGCGTTAAAAGAAAAAAAACCTCCAGAGGTGTATCTTTGATCTCAATTTTTTGTCGCATTTCCTGGTAGTTGCTATGCAACCAACGACGAAACCCTCGAATGTGAGAAAATTGGACAATTTTTGGTTGCAGTGTAAATGCAGCTATAGTCGCGTTTTTTTTCTTCATCATTCTGGTCGGGCTAACATTACAATTTATTGAGCAATGACTCACTGCATGTGCACATGAATGTTCCCATATTCTGGTGCCACGTACCTGTACATACTGTACGTGTATTGATTCTCTCCATCGAATGGAGTGATGGATGGATGGATGCTAGCTAGCGTGTGTGCTATGCTATGTAACAGGGCAACACTCGATTAATTACTTTTTGTATGACACCAGTGCTTGTGGCATCTAACCGCATCGTCGTTAGATTGACTAATTGTGGGGCCATTGATGGATTCGAAAAGGGGGTGGCTTGCTGTTACATAACAGACTACGTACTGTAGGCTAAAATTTATATGATGTGTACATGTCTGTAGTGTAATTTGAAGCCATATATTAGAATAAGAGTACTTGTACATCTGAAGGTTTTCTGCATATATAATTATGATTACATAATTTAACATTTTTTTGTATAGTGCATTACAGATAGACATAATAGCATGTCTCTATACGTTTCTATATTTCCAAGGCATTTTGGCATGTTATGCCATAAAACAGTGGCTGCATTTGAAAAACACCTTCCCCAATAAGATTTGTTGTCGTAGTTTATGGGACATGAAATAAAGACTTTTTACTGGAACAAAGTGTTCTTTCTGGCTTATACATTAATCAGTGAGATGGTAATTAATCACTTCAAAATTAAAATTGTGCACTTTGTCACTAGTTGGAAACCTTATGTTATTTTAGGTGGTTCCATGACACTCTTAAGATAATGTGCTAGCTCTTACTGTATTATTGGTTTACCAATTTGTCCATCTTTATATTGCAAAGTGTTCAATTGCTTATTTTGGTTCTTGGAATGTAAATTTCAAACCCACAACATCTATTATAAGAACTCACGCGATATATTTCATATCTAATCGTTTAAAAACAAAAGAAATACACAGTGCGTACTGTACATACCTGAACATGTACTGTACATGTATCTACAATTTAAAATGGTACTGTAAATTCTCCAAACCATTCATGAGATTGATTATGTGGAATTGGATCTAGAGGAAGGTAAACTATTCACCAGCTCTCTCTCTCTCTCTCTCTCTCTTTTTCTCTCTCTCTCTCTGATATTGCCTATCTGGGGGGCCTCTCTTATTTCCAAATCACATCAAGATTCTGAAGTAGCAGGTGTTACTCTTTCCTCCTGTTTTACAATTGTCTGGCATTCACGTGTAACATCGAAGTGAATGATCGCACATCAAATGCATGTAGATACAAAGGCCAATATAATACCAAAAATTTGAATCAAAGGTTAATATATGGCTTGGTCCAATTCAAGTTTGTTAATAAAACAGCATATTTTAAGTTGTCTCAACTCAATTTGTTGTCTTTTAAAAATTAAAGCCCCAAATCCTGTATCCAATGCATTCATTAAGATGCATCTTATTGTAGATGTACCTTGTAAAGAGTAAAGACGAATATTTAATTATAGCCAATTGGCAACTGCAAATGATTCCTTTAGTTGGTCTCTTCAGTTAATTGGCATCACCTGTTTTACCATTTCATACACATTTAACTATTATTTCTCTTTGCAAAATTGATTCAGTCTAACTTATTAGTGTTGTTTTGGATAACAGTAAATGATGACTGTTTTATTTCATATTTAACCATTTTTCAAAGTTCTAATTTTGTGGAATTTGGACTTCATTTAAAAGTACCTGTATTCCTTTATTTGAGGTAAAAGTGGAATAAATCCATGTTACATTTTCAAGAAGAAAAAGGAGGAGGAGGAGGAGGAGGGAGAAGGAGGGGGGGGGGGGAGGGGAAGGGAAGGGAAGGGAAGGGAAGGGAGAGAAGGAGGAGGAGGAATAATAATATACATGCACCTTATATGATTGTGTGACTCAATTTTTGAAATACATTTTGTTCTACCAGTGTATAGCTAAGGACCCTAAAAGCTATTTGTTGTTTTGTTTTGAAGAGAGTACAATTTCTATAGCCATGAGTGGTCAAAATATAACAAAATGGCATTGAGAATGATGCAGATGCCTATTTTTTATCACTCACTTCTTCAATATGCACCAACTGTAGAATCACTTTCACACTCTTTCATGAAATAAAGGAGAGGCATACAAATTTACCAAGACAGGGAGACCAAACCTTGATAATGTTAACGGACCCCATGGACACCGGTTACACGCTGAGTAGCTGCAATAGATTGGATTGCTTTCAGCAGCTTAGCTCATGGCTACAAAAGTGATCCCTATTTCTTGGCTTTTTTCTTTATTTCATTCTTTTTATAGATTTGGTATATGTTCCCAGGACGAAAGAGTAGTCGAGCTCTGTGTGACAACAGTGTAAACAAGATACATTGATCGGGACAGAATTGAAATTGGGAGACTAGCTTACACACAGTAGGCTCACAATTATGTAGCTTTAATTAAATTGATGCTAACTGTACTGTACGTGCAAAGTTTGTAGGCTATGGCACACTGGATGTTGAAGTACAATGTACAGTTCGATAAAGCATGTTGTAGACTGAATTCGAAATGCTTTTTACCATATGCTAGCAAGAGTAATTAATGCCTGCATGTACAACACGAAAGAAAAGTCTATGAATAATCTCTTTTTTTGGAAAAAATAGATATTGACTGGTACATGCACAAGTTACAGCTAATCTTGTGCTCTGGTATAGGTATCGTATGTCAAGAGAACATGGCTATATTTCATTCTGGATTGTTTATCCTGCAGCTAGTGGATTGATTGTTTAAACCAGTAAAATAAAAACAACCTCACAAAAACTTGCTGGAAATCATCATCTTCAAAACCACAACACTCATTTGCACATAGTGACCTGTGATATAAAGCACATGGTGTCGGACCTAATAACCTTGATTTCCTCATCCTTCTATGCTCATTACTCAGCCCCTATACATTTTCTATCAAAATTGTTTGGTGCATGTCATTTATTTGTAATCTTGAAAATTCAGTGTAAGTTTTATTGGATTCTGTGAGAATTTATTTTCAATCATTACCATAACTCATGCAAGCTTTAATTATCTTTAATCACTTTTTTAAAAATAAACATGTAGATCTGCTTCATGGTGTCATGTTTGGAAAATGAAGGTAGAAGGATTCCCATAAAAATAAATTATGAAGAAAGTTGTCACTATTCCAGTCACGGAAGATTCATCATTTTACCATGGATGGCATATTTGATTTATAGCCTGCATCAAAAAGTGAAAAACTAAAAATGTAAGCTCGAAAGAAATACATCTGAAAATAGATATCGACTCACACCTTTGTCCAAAACACACACACACTGTGCTTGCAAAGAGCGCTGTCCATGAGACAGAGGTTGTCGTGGCGATATCGCAATAGGCTTATCAATAGCTTTGAACAGTAAGGTCACGCAAAATCCTTTTTCTTCTTCATGGCGACTGCATTTCAAGTCAGGTGATCCATTTCTGTACAGAGCAAATCGGAGAGGAGCTCACAAGGAACATCTCATTGTCACCGATTTTGTTTGATTGGTCGCAACTTAAAAAATTCACAAGTTTCTCAATCGGAATTCACTCAACCTTTCACTGACCTGTTCCTCTCATTATTTTGCTTCTATTAATAAGTTGATACCAACTCAATAGCAGTGTCAACTTCTCCTTTAAGAGCCCATACTTCTTGACTTCACAAGTTTATTTGAAAGATTTTATTGAAAGATGAATAAATCAATTATATTGTGAATTTATCTTTTTAATTCTTACAAAACAGATACCCCACTTTATGGAGGCCCTGACCATCACCGGGACGGACCTGGGCCTCAACGCTCCCACGATACGCAAGGCATCCAAGCCCATGGTGGACTCCCACCACGGAATGATTTTATTGAAAGATGAATAAATCAATGACATTGGGAATTTATCTTTTGAATCATTACAAAACAGATACCCGACTTCATGGAGGCCCTGACCATCACAGGGACGGACTTGGGCCTCAACGCTCCCACGATACGCAAGGCATCCAAGCCCATGGTGGACTCCCACCACGGAATGATTTTATTAAAAGATGAATAAATCAATGACATTGGGAATTTATCTTTTGAATCATTACAAAACAGATACCCGACTTCATGGAGGCCCTGACCATCACAGGGACGGACCTGGGCCTCAATGCTCCCACGATACGCAAGGCATCCAAGCCCACGATGGACTCCCACCACGGAAAGATATTATTGAAAGATGAATAAACCAATGACATTGTGAATTTATCTTTTGAATCCTTACAAAACAGATACCCCACTTCATGGAGGCCCTGACCATCACCGGGACGGACCTGGGCCTCAACGCTCCCACGATACGCAAGGCATCCAAGCCCACGATGGACTCTCACCACGGAAAGATATTATCGAAAGATGAATAAACCAATGACATTGTGAATTTATCTTTTGAATCCTTACAAAACAGATACCCCACTTCATGGAGGCCCTGACCATCACCGGGACGGACCTGGGCCTCAATGCTCCCACGATACGCAAGGCATCCAAGCCCACGGTGGACTCGAGGGGCATGTGGGTGGATCTGGAGATGCACTACGGCGGCTCCTGCTGGATGACACTCTCCACCAAGTTCAACCTGTGGAAGCTGGGCAAGGACACCCGCATGGAGAGGGAGATGGAGGACCTCATGTCCGGCAAGAAGGAGGGCATCGAGAAGCTGGAAAGGTAATTGTTCGTTGAGGATAATGGAAGAAAAAACAAAACAAAACTGTGTAATCAGTGCTTTATACATATATTGCATGTATCTTTTGAATGGCATTGGTATATATGAGCACAAGGGGGTGTTACACAAAGATCCTAAGTTGAACTTATCTCTAAGTTGGACTTAACAATTAGGGAAAGCTGTTAGCATTCTTGAAATTATTTTGTAAAAGTTATTTTAAAAGGCATTCAAATCATTCATATTTCCTATTATCATGGGAGATTTCATGTTCTTGATGTGGAATTTATAAAAAGTCTAAAATACATGAATTTTGCTTTTGAATATATTTCATTACAAATGGCTCTCCATAATATTTACGTCCAACTTAGACTTAAGTTCGACTTAGAATCTATGTGAAACACCCCCCTGAAGTAAGGAGAGGAAGATGGAGTACTTGATGCCTTGCAAAAACCTCCTGATTATATTATGCTTTCTCTTGAATTCATTTTGTTGTTAGTATATGACTAGGTGTCCACTTAGTAAAAGAGACTTTTAGACATTCAACCCAGTGGGAGACTCCTTCAAATATGTCTGATAAAGTACCACTGCCTTATTAAAGTACATGTACATGTACATGTGCACTGAGTTTGAATATCAACTGCTGTAAAGTGCAAATCAAAAGCAAGTTTATAGATTCATGTTTGTTTCACAATTGATTCTCCGGTCAGGAGACCCTTTGGCAAGCTGTATATATTCTACTTTTGCTTCATAACACATCGCACCAGGACAGCATTTGGCACGCTTTCTTATAAGTTGTCAAGCATGATTATCTTATATATCTCACAGCAAAAATTTGCATACAGATTGAGAATGGTCTACCACAATACTCAAGCGAACACAACTAGGATATTACCGTTATATTCATAAGAATATGTCCTTGCAGTGTATAAAGCTTGGCTTTTTATTTTGTTTCACCATTGCATGCACATCTCAGCACGAGACAGCTAGCTGAGTTTCAAACTTATTTTGTTTCAAAATGTTATGGAATTCACTCTCTCACCTCTCTATTCTGTTGTGCTGTGATAATCGAGAAAATTTTAATATCCATACGTTTTGCTGTGTTCATGCATGCATTACTATGAAATTTATTTGAGCTCGGTTCTGAAAATCAGATTCTCTCTTCACACCCTCTGGGCATGTGATTAATTTCTCTCTCTCCACCTCTCTCTCTTTCTCTCTCTCTCTCTCTCTCTCTCTCTCTTTCTATCTCTGTGTCTCTTTGTCCCTCTCCATCTCTCTCTCTTGCTCTCTATCTATCTCTCTCTTTCCATCTCTCTCTATCTACCTATCTATTGATCTCTCTCTCTATATATCTTTCTGTCTCTCTCTCTCTCTCTCTATTTATCTCTCGCTCTCTCTCTCTCCTTTTCTCTCTCCTTTTCTCTCTCTCTCTCTCTCTATCTCTAATCCCCTCTCTCCCTCTCTCTCTTCTCCCTGGGGATTTTGATCACAGATGAAGCTTTTGGGAAAGAAGATCTTCATGATTCAAATATCCCCCCCCCCCATTCAGTTGAACATTGATTATTATCAGTTGTTGATGACTCAGGGGCATTCTTGTATTTTCTTTCAGACGTGAACCCCCGCCAGAACATTCGCTCAGGTTGGGATAGTGAATTTGTTTGATTTTAATTTTAAAGAATTTGTTCTCTATATACCTCCTGGAGATTGAGTAAATCAAATCTTGCAAACTTTCCCCCTTTAGTTTTTCTTTAAATCTCTCTGCCCATGCATGCGCTTCAAACACTGCATTGGTGTTTTGAGTTTTCAGTCGTATATAAATTCCTCTCTTTATGTTTTCTTATTTTGATGCTTCCTTTGTCCATGCCTGAATGTGTTTGTACCTACGTGTACAATATGTTTTATCTCTGTCTTTGTTCATTTTTTTCTTTCTCTCTCTCTCTCTCTCTCTCTCTCTCTCTCGTTCTCTTTCTCTCTCTCTATTGCTCTCTTTTTTTTTCTTTTTTTTTACTGCCAATCTTGCATCTGGGTTCAGTATTCCTCTTGCTTCTTTCATCTGGCAATCTTTCTTTTGTATTATATTTATATTCTGATCTTTCAGTGCCTATCTCTCTGTTTCTATTGGTGTGTTTACTTAAAGATAAGCTTGAGTTCTGGTAATGATAGAAAATTAATTCCCTAAGAATCTGACAAAACTTACACTGAATGTTCAAGATTACAAATAAATGACATCTGCCAAACGATTTGGTAGAAAATGTATAGGGGCTGAGCAATGTGCATCGAAAGATAAGGAAATCAATGTAAGGAGGCCTAACACCACATGCTTTTAAACACACGTCACCATGTGCAGATGAGAGATGTGGTTTTTATTGAAGATCATTTCCAGCAAGTGTTTGTGAGGTTTTTATTTTACTGGTTTAAAGTTCAAACAATCAATCAACTGCAGGATAAACAATCAAGAATGAATTATAGCCATGTTCTCTCGACAAACGATGCCCATACCAGAGCTCAAGTTTAGCGTAAACTGTTTCTGTTGTGGTCGTTTTGATTCTATCTCACTGTTTCTATTTGTGTGTTTTCTTAACTGTTTCTGTTGTGGTAATTGTGTTTCTATCTCTCTGAATCTAAGTTTCGATTCCCTTTAATCCAGTTCCCTGTCTTTGTCCTGGAATTTCTCTTTCTGTTTCTCATGTGATCTTCCTGCGTATCCTGTCCATTTTTCATCTCTCTATTTCTACTACTTTTCCTTTGTTCTGCTTTCCATTCTAGCTCTTGTTGCGTCATCCTTCTATTACCCTATTTATCTACACTGAACGACAACACAATCACCATTTTGTTCAATTCTTCTGAAATTCAAAAGGGTATTTTCCCCCTTTTTAAAAAACCTTAACGTGCAAGTGATTACTCAGTGTGCAGGAGGTTATATCTGTATGGAGCTCGTTGCATAAGACTGATCAAAGATCTTTGTACAAATAACCGCAAGTTCCTTAACCAGTAGCAAGCAAGATCTAGTATATACAGTGCATCCCAGAAAAAACGAAACCGAAAATTATCAATGTTTTATCAAATCTTAATCTCAATTACAATTAATAGATGACACATATTTGTAAAGCTTAGATCCTTCTCTTTCATTTGATGCAACTCACATGATGCATATTTCATGCATGAGTGATTAAAAACAATTTGAAGAGAGGGTAATTTCAAAGAGAAAATCACATTTCTAGAAAGTTCATTTTATGCCCTTTCATATGACACCTCAATCAGGAAAAAATGAGCCAGTAATAACAAAGTTCTGTTTGTTTAAAGTAATGCTTGCATTTTCATAATTTGATTAAACGATTTCATTTTCACTGGCTGCCTGTCGTAGCAACAAACAGAGTTGAAGAAAGACTTAACTCCATTTCATTGACAATCAGCCATGCATGAAGTCTTTCTTCTTCTTTCTGGGACGCACTGTATAGCAAGCTCTACTAAAAAAACAAAAAAACATTGATACTAACAACCATTGAAATATTGCATATTGTCTGTTTGGACGGAGCCAGAAGCATGATAACTCATATACTGTAACAAAGAGTTAATGCCCTTCTAGCTCCGAACAGACCATTTCATCTGCTAGCAGTCAGAAGGGTAGAGGGGGCATTAACTCACTGACTTTGTCGTGGAGTTAATGCCTTTCTACCTCTCTCATTCTTCAATGTTGTGAAATCGCAAATTAAATTTTGCCAGTATTATGCAACAGCGCTCTGGTCTTACCAGTACTCCTGCTTAGTTAGTCTTGGTGTTAGATTAACCTGAATTATGCACCGAATATCTGACTAGAAGTGACACCTTGTATAATACTTCATATCGTCTGTTTGAAGTCACAAGGGCGTCTTAACTTGTCTTCTGTAAGTCTGTAACGCATCTAGTTAATGCCCCTGTGGCTCTTAACAGACAGTGTGATGATTGCCAATTTATTAACCATTTAATGTCAGGTATCTAGTCTTGAATCCTAATGCCACGTTGTATAGAACCCACATTATGTAGATTAGAATTCCCATATTGCAGTTTGAATGTCACACAGTGAATCATGTATAGATATTTGAATGTTAGTTAGAAATATTTACAAATTAAAATATATATGCTGTGTTTATATGAATATTTATATGCTATTGAATATCATTTAGTGTTTGTACATGTATATGACTATGCAATTCATTCATTTATATATAGATAGATATTCACATGCCATAGGCTATAAAATATTCTTCTCTTTTCTTTCTTAAAAAAAAAAAAAATTGTGCAAAAGGATGTGAACATGTTTCAGTTTTGTTCTACCTTGGAGCAACATTTATCTTGTTTCATTTGAAATCTTTTCAAAAGTATGTGCTGAATTACTATGTAATAGATCTGTTACCATTGCTCAATAACATTCTGATGTGAAAGTATGATCTATTAATATGCAGTACCTTGATAATATTATTTCCAAGAAAAATGTCTTTCAATCATGTTTGATAAACAGCTCTAAGCTCCAAACATTGAAATAAATCCCACACTCGTGCATATATTATGTACAAATTATTGTTTCAACTTAAAAAAAAAGAATATTGTGTTTCAATTTTTTAAAATTTTAAATACAGCTCTGAGCATTCAGATTTTGAAATAAATTCCACACTCATGCATATATTATGTGCAAATTATCATTTAAAATAAAAAATGAAAAACTGTCTTTCAATCATTTTTTTAAATTACAGCTCTGAGCTTTCAGATTTTGAAATAATTTCTACAAACTTATTTTTACATGTATATGCAAATTATCATTTAAAAAATTTTGAAAGCAAAAATCAGAGCAAAACCTTAAACTTTATAACAGGAAAAATGCATTTTCGCCCTCTAAAAACGGGAGATGTATTACTTATAGTGCATACATGTAGGTACAATGATTTATTTGAAGATTATTTTTTTTTATAATGAAACGGTGTCATCAACAAGTCTTCGCAACTGCACCCAAAATACACACATCTTATGAATAGTTCACAGAGGATATAATAAATGACATTTGTATAACTGCAATCAAGGTGACATTGCATCTTTCTATGAGAAATTACCCTTATGCTATCTTGGGTTACTGTGCACATTATACTTTATAAAATTCATCATTTAGAAAATATTATCCTCTTCTTGGTCATCAATTTTGCCAAATATTCCATTTTGAATAGTTGAATATACTAAAATGTTTCTGGATTTCAAATGCAACATCATGCAGTGTGAATGCGCTGTTGAAAACTGTTAAAACGCTGTTCTATTATTAACCTTTAACTTTTTAATCACTTTCTTGTCTATAATATATGCAACTGTTCATGTTATATACACAGAATATTCTATTTGATATTGCAGTAAATGTTTCTTTTTATTTGTATTATCCTTTATTTGTTTATATATATATATATATATATACAACAAGCATGCATTGTGATTTTATTATTTTCTAACCCAGCCCTGTCTCCTTCCTTCCTCTTTTTTATTTATCCAATATTTCCCCTTTCTTGGCTCTCTTGCACTTCCTACCTTTTGGCACTAACCTTTGCTGTTAACACACACACAAACACATTGTGCAGCACTACAATGTACTCCAGCAAAACAGGCAGTGCTGCCATTTCTAACAAAAAGCACGCTTTAGACAAATCCAGTGTGTACAGCGCTGGTTACCCATCCCCTACTTCTACTGTACGTAGTAAAGACAGGTAATATATTTATAAAAAGCTTCTCCAGTTTTCACTTCCTCTGCATATGTGTGTACATGTTTTTCGCTTGTTCTTGCTCTTTTGCCTCCATCCCATCATATTTTTAGATCCCAGTTCCACATACATGTATAGGACTGTGTTGAAATGACATATATACCAAGTAGAGTAGATTGTGAAGAAAGTACAGTTTAACATCTAAATCATTCATACACCTTGCAAATTTGATGTTTTTTGTGTTTATCAAAACTCAAGCATGAAAGGTGAACTTGTTGAATTAGGGCGTTTGTTGAAAACTTTTAGATATAAGCTTTAATATGGCACATTCTCCAGAAACATACAATACATTTTAACATACCGTACTTGAAAAATTACAAAACTTGGTAAGGGTATAAATAATTTTGTTTTTAACGGTATATACTGTATGTTTGGAACCAGAAGGACGTTAACTCAGTAAAATTAATTGGATTAATGCCCTTCTTGCTCTTAGCAGGCAGTATATACATTTACATCAGTTTTCCTTTATTTTTTAAAAGTAATATCATTTAAATTGTGCTCTGAAATGCTATTGATCTACTTGAATAATAGATTCAAAGTCCATGAAGATATATTCACAATTTAGCGTTATCTACATCATGTACATACTTACTACAAAATGAATTTTAAATAAAAGTATGGATGAATGGTTTAAGAAAAAACAATAAGAACAAAAGTGAAAAGAGGATTAGCAAAATGTTATAATTATATCGTACATTGTACAATATCTAATCAAGTTTCAAGCTTCCATAGTTAAAAAAAAAAATGTTATCACAGATTCAGCTCATTGATTGCTTTTAGAGCTATTCTCACTATGAAATGACGGACAAAGAAAGCGGACAAAATATTCAGTTCCTCAGGTAGACAAAGGAACATCCCTTCACTGCTATTATGTAAAAATGTGTAGAACAGGTGAATATGAATGTGACACCTGTTCTACACATTTTTACGTAATAGCAGTGAAGGGATGTTCCTTTGTCTACCTGAGGAACTGTATATTTTGTCCGCTTTCTTTGTCCGTCATGTTCATAGTGTCTGCACCTTCAGATTAGTTTGTCATTTTCATACTGGTATAAAACCAAGTATTGAAATAGACATGGGATCACTCTTTTTCTTAATATCAGAACAGGGAGAAACCATCGTAAGTGCCAAAAATAGAGGCCCCCTGTGACCAAAATAGCTCAGAAATCATGGTTGACTTTGACTCCTTGACCTTTCTCATTCCAAAAGCAGGTCATGATTGTCAATGTGTAAAGCGTCTGTCACGTATATCATGGCTGTAAAATCTTTTTGTTTATTTTTCATTCACTCAAAACCCATTTATGTTGATCTTCCTTTGGACAGAAAAAGGACTCCATTTTCATAATGTTTCACTGACTTCATTTGATTTCAATGGAATGTTTTTTTTTTCCTTAGTATATACAAAACTCTAATGTTTTCTCTAATCTGCTCACTTTCTCCTCTTCTCAAGCTATAATTGCTCTTTCTTTCTCTTTCTTTCTTCCTCTTATATGGAGTCTCTCCATTTTTATTTATTATTATTATTATTTTTTTCTTCATTTTTTTAAAGGTAAAGACCAGTATTGAAAACGCCCCCAATTTCAAAAAACGAAATGGAAGCTCTTTATTAACCAATCATGTGAAAGAATATGTTTTGACTAATACATGATGATACAAATTTTGCCGGGAAACCGCCTACTAATTTATATAGTTGGTAAATTAGTTTATCTATTGGACTGTGAGAGATAAACGCACGTGTCGCGCACGTGTGCGTAGTTCCATATACATCTTTCTGTGTACAGTGCTTGTAACTTTACAAAGACTGGGCCAAATTTCTTATCATTTTGATGATTCCAGAACCTTGCAGTAGACACCAATACTTATATGCTAGATGATCAACATTTTCTGATCGATTCCACAACGTTTCATGCACATTGCAATCGCATGACCATAACTGGACTTTATCTTTAAAATTTTTTTTTTTTTGGGGGGGGGGAGGGGGGGATCCAAATTCTATAGATAGTACTGTATCCAATTATTTCTGCATTTGCTTATCATTCTTGCCTCTCACAAGATCTTTTGTTTTCTTCATGAAAGCATATCGTTTTGCCTTCTCTACTTTTATCAAGACTGGAAATACTTTAAAAAAATTCCTACCTAATAAAATATAAGTATGTTCTACTCGGCTTGCAAAAAAGTCTTTCTTTTTTTCATGAAACCATATCGTTTTGCCTTTTGTACTTTTATCAAGACTTGGATTACTTCACAAAAACCTAACTAATAAAATTTAAAGTATTTCCTGCTCCGTTTGCAAAAATATCCCAAGTGCATTGCATTTCAGATCTTTTATCATGAAGGCATATCATTTTGCCTTCTCAACTTTTTATCAAGACTAGGAATACTTCAAAAAAACCTACCTACAAAATTTAAAGTATTTCCTTCTCAATTTGCAAAAGAGTCCCAAGTGCATATCATTCAATTACAGGGCTAGAGTTCTAATCAGTAAGCCTGTCTTCATCAGCTCGAGTTTGCCAAATAACTCGCTTTTTTAATTATCCTGATCGCAAATTAACCAGTTAATTAGCTTCTTCATTAGCCCGCAGTTGCAACTAGCGGATATTTGGTCAAGAAAATATCTTGAGAAATCTCGGTCTTGTTTCACAAATATCCCGCTATTTGGGAAATAGCGGGTTACGGTAATTTGTGCCCGTCCGAGCTAGTTTGTGATGAGCATATCGGTCTGGTGAAAACGCAATTTCAAGTTTCTGGATAATATCCCGAGTCTGAAAATAGCGGATTATTTGGTGAACTGAAGCTGATGAAAACAGGCCTGTTGATTCACTCATACCATGCTCCATGTAGGATTAATGACTCAGGGCAGGAAGGAAACACAATAATACATTATCAATCCGATGTCCTTAAAGAGAAAAACATGAAGAAAAAAACATAGGAGATGCACACTGCATGTATTTGGATGATAAAAAAAGATTATTATTATTATTATTATTATATGGTCTAGCATTGTATTTTTATCAAAGCTGTAATAATGAGGAACGGTCAAATGTTTCATCATGTCAAAAATCAAAGTGGATGAAAACCTGCATCCGTATGTTACATGCAGTTTATTTCTAAAAAGAGAACTCCATGCCAACTTGTACATTGTAGTGATATTATCTTTACTTCAATATACAAAAAGAACATCATCTCCTATATGAATAGATTAAAAAGCAAATATTATAGGGGACCCTGTCAGGTATCATCAGAATTTATAATGTAGGGTCTTTCTTAGTTATAGAGGGTCCTTTGTGCTCTAACCCAGCTCGTGTCTAGCAGTGTTTACATGAAGAAGAACAAAATTTTAAAACATGCTGCATTATGAGTATGATATGAACAAGTCCCAGTATCTCAGCACCTTTTATAAGGGGACAGAGTCTAAATACTTTCTTGTCAAAAAGTATACATCTACATAACATTTCATTGCCTCACTAATATCAAAATTCACATTTTCATTGTAAATATACATGTCAGCTTTATATTCGTCACTCATTAAAAGACGTTGTTATACTAACATTTGAAAAGATAATAACTTTATTACTAATCTCTCCAGTTGATTTACTTTCATACTTGAAACAGATTTATCAGTACATAAATGACATACATGTATATATAAATATGAAATGTTATCTGCATCATAGATTATCAACAACAAACAAATCGATAATATCCAAGCATTCCATGATCGTTATTTTCATTCTGTACAAAAAGTTTGTTTACATGTATGTGAATTACTTGGTACTTATTTTACAAAGATATTTTATATCTGTAGAGCTAGCAGAATTTCTAATTACTGTGAAGTTCACGAGCCATGATTAAACTGTGAAACCTTTCTCTTGATTCGCAGGAGGCAGATGTCTGCTGCCCTCGACAGTGAAGAGGAGGACAGTGCGGAGTCTTCGGACGATGAGGTCGCGGAGGAGACAAACAGTACTACTAGCAGCAATGATGCAGGACTCGCAGAAGACGGGTAAGGGGTAGAAATGTGGAATCAGGGACAAAAAGGATATTTTAAGTACCAGTAATAATGTAAAACCTACTTTTATGATCACCTGTATAGAAAGACCACCTGTCTACAAAGACCACATTTTTTGTTTCCCTTGAAAATGATTTCTCATTGAAACCTGTACCAAAGGAACCTGTACATTAAGACCACCTGCCTATAAAGGCCACTTTTCTTGTCTCCCTTGGGTGGTCTTTTTAGACAGGTTTCACTGTACTGTCATTCATAGTGTTGTGAGTGCAGTCAAACCTGCTTTAGTGACCACCTGTCTACAAAGACCACATTTTTTGTTTCCCTTGTAAATACATTCTCATTGAAACATGAACTAAAGGAACCTGTCCACGTTTTTGTTTCCCTTGGGTAGTCGCTATCGACAGGTTTGACTGTATTATTATATTAGTAAAGAGAAAATGATTATCTGTCCCATTTCATCTTTCAAGTTGGAATTAATTTATATTTCATAAAAGTAAATCAATCTTATTCATATTCATAATTACAAGAAATTTACAGTTTTCTGATGTCAGCAGTGTACTTTTTCCGATTTTGGAAAAAATATTGTACAATAGCGGCCATCTCTGTCCATAATTCCTTTAATACAACCTTGAATCAGCTTGATTTGTTAAAATTGATGTTAGTGGAATTACCTTGGCAATCAGAGATTGCAAAATTAATGTGTTTGATCTTTAGAGAATCTTTGTGTTTTTTCCAAATTAACCAAGGGGTATGTCATTTGCAACCACTTTTCTTCACAGAACTCGTAGCTCTAGCAAGATGCGGATTGTAATCATTCTATTTTCTTAGAATTTATACGGGAATTACTTTAGAAAATCAAAGATTTTGCAAAATAAATGAAATGTGTTTGATATTTAAGGGCATCTTAGTCTTTTTTCCCTCCAAATTAACAAAGGGTGTAACCTCTTTTCTTCACAGAACTCGTAGCTCCAGCAAGATCCTGAGGTTTGTGAACAAGGTTGCCAACTCCAACTACTTCCAGAGGGCCACGCAGAATAAGTACGTCAAGCGAGCCTTCAATGAAGTATCCAACACCGCAGTGGAGCTCACCGTAGAGGTGAAGGAACTGAGAGGAGTGCTGACTGTGAACATTCCACCACCGCCATCTGATAGAGTATGGTAAGAATGAGTGAAGGTGCTGTTCACATTGGGCTAGGGGTGAGGGGGTGATGGATGAAGGGGGGGGGGTAGGATAAAGGCATTATTTTTAATAGCTGCTTTGATACTGCTCTGATACCAGTTTCACATCTATATGCACAAGAGACTTAATTGAGCAATATATAGCACCAAAAAATACATATTTTACCCTATGAGGAATCTTCTGGAAGAGATTACAATTTGCCATTCCTGGTGTCTGCCTTTTAAAGCCGCATTTTGATATCAATTGCAGCTGTATGCTACAATGATAGGAGATCTTGCGATTGATTGGAGGTCTCGTAATCAATTTGAATCAATCCCAACTCTTTTATGAGACTGGGCAGTCCTTCCAATTTTCAGTTCTAGATGGTGTTGGTTGAGAAAAATGAATTCAGTTATTTGTGGAATAGTGTAAATACGTAAATGATCTGACAATGGTCAAGGGTAGAAGGCAAATTTTCCTGTAATCGACCTGTTAAACATGACAAAGAATACACAGGCTTTTACAGAAACCATAGAACCATGAAAGGATTGATTGTGACTGTTTATACTTATGCCAGTAACCACATAATAACGATAATAATAATCTGGATTTATAATAAAATGACACCCAATGGCCGAAAAACTGAGGAATATGAGTTGGTGTGCGGATGTGACGGAGATACGAGGCCCTCAAGAGGAGTACATGCTGGTTGGTTGGTTTTACCTGACTGCTAAAAATCATGAATATGCTTGTAAGTAAGCAACCAGGGGACCAATGGCTTTAAGTCCTGTCCAGGTGATTTAATAATGAAGATTAATGCCTTGCCAAGGGGCACTAGCTCATCAAATTGATTTAGAACCCGGGACCTCTCGGTTACGAGACCACTGCTCAACCAATGAGCCATCCCGCCTTAGGCCGGGTTCATGTGTAACAATATTTTGAAGTCCATTCCACAAACTTTATCCTTGAGCATTGTCTTCTCTTGTTTTCCTTCAGGTATGGATTCCGTGGGAAGCCGCACCTGTGGTTGTCAGCCAAGCCTAAGCTAGGGACGAGACAGGTCACCATCACACACATCACCGAGTACATCGAGAAGAAACTGGAGAAAGAGTTTCAGGTAGGATTGCCATCACAGTCACCATCAGATAGCTCCGGCGGTTATTGCTGTGGGTGGAATTGCTCCAGACTTCATGTCATCAAAAATATAGGGTTAGGGTTAGGGTTTGGAGGTTAGAGTTGTAGCCTAGGTTAAAGGCTTTGTTTAACAATGTTAAATCTGAGATGCAGGGCCCTACGTGTTATCAGTGTCTGTGATATAGAAGCCCTATAAAAAATCGCACTTCAAAATGATCAAGAAGTGCCTCAAAAAAGTAAAAATCTTTGAGTGACTGGTTTTACCATACTTGTTTTCCCCAATAGACTGTAGTGTTATGAAAAGAACTTTTTCTTAATTGGTTTCAATTTCCAATCATAAAAATCTTGATAATCAGACAGGCGATCGGCTAGTAAAAGTCATGGGGTTCTTGACTGACTTAAATGTTTATAATTATGATTGCAGCATGAGCTAAATCTAGGATTTTGTTTTGGAATCTGAGACAAAGTTACCGGATCCCTTTAAAGGTAGGAGTTAGGTATAGTGTTGGGTCCAGTGTTGAAGTCAGGAATTTGGTTAGTGTAGGAAAATACTGCGAAGCAACTGTCGCAGGAGCAAGTGTCGGACAACCAAGCTAGCCATAGGCACAATTTAGGGTCTTTGAGGTGGGAGGGGGATATATAAATGGGTGAAGTCTATGAATAGTTGCATTACAGTGGAAGGGGGAAAGGGGGGGGGGGGGGTGGTTAATGCCATTGACAAGGTATACAAGATGCCAAGAAGGTTGAGAACCATTAGTCTAATAAATTAATAAATAAATAATTAATAAGGATTTAGCAATCTAAATATAAAACATTGTTAATTTTGTCAATTTTTACCACTAGCAGAAGGATATTGGTGAGATTTCACTATTTTATGGCATCAGACTCTGTTGAATTACCTCCAAATAACTAGAAAGCAAAGAAATCTTTTGTGGTCTGTTGTAATTTCTTACTTTTTGTACCTATTTAATATCAATTTTAAGATTCTTCAAGAATGCTATCGGTATTTGAATTTTTTTGTCAGGACATTCGTGGTCAATTTTGTCATTAGGGATGCCCTTATAACCCTACAACAACTTTATCCTTTCGTTCTCATCGTCTGTTTTCAGAGAGTCTTTGTGCTGCCCAACATGGACGACATACCCATGCCAATCATGAACTTTGACGTTGAGGAGCATCGCTTTGCCAGATGATGAATCACCCAGCCTCAGCCCCCTTGGACTCCCCCTGCCCCTGCCCCGCATCGTAGGGTCAGTATGTCCCTCTCCATCTCCCAGCCCCCATTGGTCAACGTTTCCGGCCAGCAGATGGACGCATCATATTGTGACAAAAGTCAACTGCAGCAGTGTGCTTGTTCCATTCTGCCAACCGAGGCGTACGTAGGGTTAAACCCCCTCCAGCTTGGACCATCCCAGTATAGCTTCCCGAATGAGCTGCCAAAGGGATTTAACTCACCCAAGTACCAAGGACGCACACCAAATCATCAGCTGAGAGCCAGAAGGGCGTTTAGTGCTATCCTTGGACACAGTAAATGCCTTTTTTGCTCCCAATGAATAAAAAATGCCGTGTGTCATTTTAGTTTTGAAGGGATTAAGAAGAGGGCAATCAGCTTGTACAGCAGAAATGGAGGAAATAATGATTATTGTTACATCTATGCTACGAAGTGTCCACCTTAAAGCCTGTCTGTACTAGTTTGGCCAGGGGAGATTAGACCTCCCTGCAAGGTCACTGACAGCGGTTATCTCATCAATTTACATAAGAAAAAGAGGATCATGGGGGACCAACAGGCACTGATTAGGCAATGTGTGTTATGTAGAGGGCACAAGTAGCTATAAGAGGGGCAGTGGGGCGTTATTAAAGAGGACATGATCGATAGAAGGTAGGAATATAGAACAAAGGAGAGTAAAGACAGATAGAATTGTAGATGGAAGAATACAAGCATATCAATATTAGAAAAAGAAGCAGCAGATAACAGGGCAATGAAGGCTAGTAAAAAACCTAAGGTCATTGTGTTTTAAAATTGTAAGTAAGAAGCTTGAAAGCCTACATGAAAAGACCACGCTCCAAAAAGGAAAAAAAAAAAAGGCCCAAATGCAGTATCCATGAACTGAATGTTGTTAGAGAAGCTTAATATTGGAGTTATAGTGGGTTGAAAGTCTTTGGTTGAAATGCTGAAAATACACACAAAGTGTAAAAGCTCAAATATACCTTCCAGCCAGTCGCCTTTTGCACCTAATATTCATAATCATCTTCATAATATGGTATTTCCACAGTTAGATTTGAAGGACAGCAACTTCCACATTTCTGTGACATACTCATTTTAACCTATTGCAGGTGGGAACCAAGGCCCTGTTTCATAAAACTTTACATCAATAACAAGTTACAAGCTACTGTTATAAGCTACTGAAATCATGGCATCTGATTGGCTGAGAGAAAATTTGTCATCGAAAATTAGCATTTGTTACAGATAACAAGTTTCATGAAACGGGACCCTGGGGATTCTTGTATGAAGTCTATGGGAAGGAAAGAATGGGGTAGCCAATGGGTTGAAGGAGCCCCGAGTAGACCAAATATTTGCAGAAAACAGAGGAATGGGGGCATGTTTGAAAGCTTTAAAGCCTGTCTGTACTAGTTTGGCCTGGGGGGGGGGGGGTTAGACCTCCCTGCAAGGTCACTGACACATGGTTATTTCATCAAATCAGCTCACAATTAACATAAGAAAAAGAGGATCATGGGGGACCACTGATTAGGTCACTGATTAGGCATTGTTTGCTAAATAGAGGGTGCAAGTAGCTATAAGTAGTGCAGTGGGGCTTTAATTGGAAATCAAAAGCAGAATGGTGGTATAATAATTGTATAAAGCATCTTGAGTATGAAGGTTTCAGACGTGGTATAAATCTTGCAGTGTCTTTATCGCATTGGTGTGCATTTTTCTGAGTGATAGATACAACTCTGTGTACGCAAATGAACTCTATATCCGGTCAGTACTTGCTAATGAAACCAAGGGAACAGTGTTGTGTGTAATGTATTAGAGTATTAGCATCAAAAATTCCATTCCTTGTCAAATATATGTGTAACTGGTGTGACATTGTTCGGCATTGTTATCCAGTGTGGGAGTGTTGTGTCTCGTATTGTGATAATATTACATCAGTCTATGGAGACTCAACTAATTACACGTTATGAAACGATTTTGTATGTGTCTGTATGGTTGCGGTTTGTCCCGTAGATACTCAAGGTACCGTGTACAAATCATGCATTACATTGTATTGTGGGCTAATGTTAATGAGAGGACTTGTGAGAAAAAAAAAACTTCACTATGGTGCTCACATATAGAAGGTTTCCTATTTAAAGAATTTCGATGTTCACCTTTGAAGTCTGATCCAGACAGTGATTGGATTCGTATCCATTGGAAAACCGTTGAAGGAATATGAAAATTAAGAGATAGATAAATGTACGGTCTCCGGGCTGGTAAAAGGTTCATGTCATTATGAAGTGATCAATGAATTCCATCAAGGAAAACTGTGTCCACTTTGTTGGGTTCTATTGGTTACCTAAGGTTAGGTACTCTTGAAGTTTCCCCAGATTACCTACGGTTAGGTACTCTTGAAGTTTCCCCAAGTGCTATCCCTCCCTTATTTACTTCACTCATGCCACCAAACATGACTCCAAACCTACTCCAAACTGATCAGTTATTGGCCATTAGGGTTCATGTAACTCTGCGTTTGGTCTGTTGTTCAGTCTGGTGTCGGTCTGGTGTCGGCCTGGTGTCGGCCTGCATCGGTCAGGTGTCGGTCTGTTGTTGGTCTGGTGTCGGTCTGGTGTCAGCCTGGTGTCGGTCTGGTGTCGGTCTGGTGCCGGTCTGGTGCTGGCTGGGTGTTGGCCTCATTGCTGTGACAGAGGTATTACTGTTTCTTGTTTTATGTTTGTCAAAAATCGTTTTGTATCAGCAGCATCAGCAGGTTTGTGCAGTACATAGTACAGATAATGTGATTATTGATTGAAAGCTAATAATGTTCTATAAATAAAAGTCTATTTAATTACATTTTAAACAGCAAAGTGTACTTGAAAAAAATATTATATATTGACTTTGTGTGAGCACTTTAAGTTATCAATGTTTAAATAGAGTACATCGAAAAACTGAAACTAAAATGCCTTGTAATGCGATACGTCTTCTGGTGAGAATGAGGATTATTTTGTACTCTTCACGACTATTTTTGAGCATGTATGATCTGGTGTTTCTGTCAATCGAATTGGATATTATTATTGCAAGTACAATTCAATGAGTTTGTTCAGTGATGAAAGCTTAAATTGTTTTCATTTATAGCACCCTGAGACTAGTCAGATTCTCATGAAATAGAAAACAGTGAAATGAAACTATTGTTTAATATTTTAGCATCTAGAATCGTTTGTTTCCCAACGTAGCATAAATCAAATATTATTGTCGAATATTGTAGATTCTAAAAATCTGGTGCCGCATTTTGAGATATCATGACTTTGTCCAATCTTAAAACCATTGGATAGTGAGGGAGAGAGAACCAGTGCTATTTTTTGTGAGGACGACACAGAAAAATGGGCCCTTTTTACACAGTCAAGGAATTTTGGCCCAGCTGTCCATTTTCTCTGTTGAAATATAATGTGTTGTGAAATGATTCTTAATGAAATGAAACGTTAAAAGCAAAACATTGCTTTCCCATCTAATCAAGTCATACTTTGAAATGCAAGATTATCACCTGTTTGTCATATGCATATATATGTTATTTTAACAAGGACTAAAGCATTTTGCCGACTGCATAACTAAATATAATGACAAAGGTATCTTGTTTGTACGTTGTTCCTTAATATGCCATTTATTTGTTATTCTATTATCACAACACCATTAAAAGATTCATCATTAGACGACCGGTACTCTTGTTTTGCAAAATTAGATATATATTTGTACAGACAGCAGAAGACCTTTATTTGCTTCATCTGCTATCAAAAGTGTCTATCTCTGTTTTGGGGTGAAAATTATATTGTGTAGATTATGATATATTGTAGACTATATTTGTGTGTATCATTTATAGATACTTTTTAATTGTGAGTTTGTATATTTTTATGACTACGTGTTTGCCGGTTCTCTTCCACTTTTCACATGTCTACTTGAGTTTTGTAAATGCTTTCACATGTAATCAGCATTGGTGCCTTTTTGTTTCATTTTGAAAACATTCTTCAAATTTGTCATGCTGCAAAAAAAAAGAAAGAAGAAGATGAAAAAAGTAGAAATAGAGATCATTTATTGTAGATGTAAAATCCCTCATTGAAGTTCCCATTATATGAAAACTCAATTTTATTGTCAAAGAAGTCTTAAATTGTTATTGATAAGACATTGTTATGGGCATATTGGAAAAAAGAAGTTCTTTTCTTTTCATGTGGAAATAAGATGTATGTGTACACTATGAAATGTTAAGAACTGTGGAACTGCGTGAATTGGAACGATAATTATAAAGAATTTTTGAGAATTTTTCCCACAGTAGTGATGCAGACCTAATTCATTTCGGTTATTCATGATGAATGAAAGAAATGAAGTAGATCTGGACCAATCACAATGAAAAACATTTTTCTCGAAAGCAATCTTCCAGTTTAGTTCTGATTCCTCTGTCTTACAGTATTAATTGTCCGTCTTTCCCCTACGCACTTTTACTTGTGACCTTGCCATTTAGTTGTGAGCTCAACTCCTCATCAAAGTAGATTTGCTGAGATCTGCCCTCTTTGTCAATGTTTTAGTAATGCACACTAGGCCCATTGTCATCAGCTCAATTTTGCAAAATAACCCGCTATTTTAACTATCCCGAATGCAAATTTGCGTCGTCATCAGCCCGCAATTGCAATTTGGAGTGGACTATTAGGCTATTATTATTATTATTATTATTATTATTATTATTATTAATTAGCAGGATATATGTGGTCGAGAAATCTTGGCCTTGTTTCCAAAATATCCCGCTATTTGGGAAATAGCGGGCTAATTTGCGCTTGTCAGAGCTAGTTTGTGATGAGCGTATTGGTCTGGTGAAGACGCAATTTCAAGCTTCGGGATAATATCCCGAGTTTGAAAATAGCGTGTTATTTGGCAAACTCGAGCTGATGATGACAACCCTACTGTATACCTTGTAAGTGATCCCTCGTTTATGGATTTACGTTTGTATTAGTTGGGCATTTTTTTTCTTCATGCACTGGTTGTGTGCTGCATTATTTGATTGATAAGATACTTTATACAGTGTTTGTTTTTTTGAACCTGAATGCTACAAAAGCAGTTGTATACTGTTAAGGTATTATGCAGGTAATGCACAACCTTATAGTCCTATATGAGGGACTGAGCCACGTGAGGATACAGTTCTAATTTCTCTCCACAGAAATTGCAGATACAATTTCAAGATGTGAAGCATAAGCTAACAAATGCTAAGACCTGTAGAATGCATCATTTGTTTATTTGTCTAACGGTGATATCTTTTTCATTCAAGTAAAAATCAACAAGTTATGTTTGTGATAGAGTCCTAAATACTGTATGTCATATGACCTGATAATTATTAAAACAAAAAAATAATAATCAAATCAATTCTGTATCCAATGATACAAAAACTGATAGTGACAAATTTGTAGTCAATTTTAATCATGGCATTGTCAGTGCAACAGTTTTTTGTTGACATGTAGACATCGGAACGCCAACAAATTGAATATAATACTTGCTAATCATTTGTATTTTTAGAGTAGCAGAAATTCGAAGTCAAATTGAATAGAACCAAAGCCATTTATTTACATGAACACTTACAATAAGTTTGTTATGTTTGGAAGGGAGAAGGTACAGCCCACTTATCTAAATTTAATCTTGCCATAAACATTCAATAATCTTAAATAGATCTATAAAAAGATGGTCAGTAAATATAGAGTGCTAATAAATAGAGGTGGTTTTGACCCTTTTGAGATTGATTATTGGTTTAATTCTAAAGCTATTGGCTGGTAGGTCCATATAATTCAAATTCTGTAACTTGTGACCGCTTATTATGTTTGCATTCAGTAGTCTATACTGCAGTGACCAGTGTACTAGCGACCAGGATTATAAAGGACGCTCTGAGTTCTGTCAAATGAAACACAACCAATCTTTTCCATAGAATTAAAATATGAATATCTTGATTTAGTGTACTAGATGTGAAATAGGGCTAAAGGATAGTGCAATTATAGCAAAATATAGGTTTAAAAAATGTAGAGATAATTAATATAAAAGCTATTCTTTAAAGTAACTATTTTTTCTCATTGCAGTTCGTCCATTGTCATCAATTTGAAGTAATGCAATAAAATATGTTCATGATCGATTGGACAAAGTCAAAGCAGAACTTGAATTTTACTTTTGTCTCAGAACTTTTATTTGAAAGTGTTTTTCAAGTGATTGCGACTACTTTCAACAAGAAAATCAACTCGAGGTAAATGTCAATGTCCTACGTATGTCCCATAGAAATCATGTTATGATTCCGTAATATGCCATCGTAATTTTTTTCCCTCTTCCACAGGGTTCTTTATTTTCAAAACAAATTCCATCATAATTATACAGTATATCCATACATCATATATACAAATAATTACAGAAATAATTTCCATACATAATGGCTTGACACAGGTAATAATCATCACGGCCGAAAACTTTTGTGGCAGATAAAAACAAACATTTATGAAAAAATTAGTACTTTAAATATATAATTAAAACAAATACCAAACATAAAATACATGATCATGTTTATGTTAGCACATTTCCGACACTCTCAAAATATTTTCTAAAGTGAAACCGTTTCTTTTTCAAATTTATTCTCTCTGAGATTTGTTTGGTATATATATATTTCCATTTCATAATAACGTTTTACAGCTGATAAAATTATATCAAATGATATCAAATTATATCAAAATATGCCATCGTAATGTTCACACATTTCAAAAGGTGACATACAAGCCATTGAAATTGCTTTAGATTGATTTTTGAAAGTATTTGCGATCATGTTTTCGTTTGTTTGGAACCAGAAGAGCGCTAAGTCTGTGTTAATGTATATGAGCTAACACCCTTTTGGCTCCGAACAGACGATTGGTCGGTTGTGTACGCACTTTACGATAATTATGTTTATGGGGTGCGGTTTGGTTATGATCACCAATAAATTGTGATGTATCGAATTTGATGGCTGTTGACTGGGATTTTGATGGCTTGTCATAAACACTTCTCTTTCTTTGCTTTTCCTCTCTATTATTCTCCGCTTCTGTTTATACAACCACCCATTATTATTTCTATACTATAACTATATATTACCCATTTGTCAATAATTTACTCCTTGTGGCTTTTATTAAAACAACTGTTATTATTGCTTATATTAATCCTTACAATATTACATCTGGTTTTGTCTATATTTTCACATTAATTTTGTTTCTGGTTTTGTTTTTCTCTTCAATTATTTCTACTTTTACTTCTGTCCCTCTTTATTTATTTCTACTCTCAGTTTTGTCTCTCAGGCTATCTGTTTCAGAGATTTTAAAATTATTATTTAAACCCCTGGTTCATTATTGTGTCTTCCACTTTTACTATAACTACATATTTTCCTTCTGCTTCTAATGTTTTTCAATTTTTTTTGTACTGTCTTTTATCTTACTATCTTTCATCTTACTTTCGTTTATCTTACTATCTTTTATCTTGCTATCTTTTATCTTACTATCTTTTATCTTACCATCCTTCTCCTAATTGTGTCTCTACTTTCGGCGATGCTTCTCTTAAAACAATTCGAGAAACCAAGCTTCGGCAATTTGGCTGCCACCTCTTAAAATATGCGAAATTATAGCAAATAACATAATCCGAACTGGATGTCAGTACACAAAGAGATATTGAAAGTGCCCTTGATTGAGTTGATTAACAAATATACCTTTTATGGAAGTGATGCAAGGTTCCCTCCTATATGTAACAGGAATGACCCCCCCTCCCCCCCCCCCCCCCCCTCTGCTCGCCCCAATATAACTCCTTGACTATTCTTTACTCAAAATGTAATTTGTCTATCCTTCAACCAATCTATCCTTAAACCAGAGAATTGAAAATGATAGCTTTATTGACGAAGCAGTATAATCAGATTTTAAGCCAATCATTGTGCAATTTTCTATCTTTTAATCGTTATCATTAACGTTTGCCCCTCTTTTTCCTCATACAACGCACATTTCCCTTCTTTCGTCAACGTTTTATTTTGTCTATTTCTTAATCTTTCTATCCTTAAACCATAGAATTACAACGATATCTTTATTGATTATAAGCAGTTTAATCGGGTCATGATTCTCTTTTAATCTTTATCATTTATTTGTTTTCCCTTTACCATTGGTTCGACCTCCGTTTTCTAGATAGATTTCCACGATGTTGCTTTATTTTCCCTCTTATTTCTTTGTCGCCTTGATCAAAGCTTTTCACCTTGATAAAGGACTATGTTGTCACGCCAAACATTTACTATTGATTGTATCTCGTTTATTAGGTGAGAAAGATGAGTTTAAAGGTTATTCGAGTTTGATTGTTACGTAATTTCAGACAATTCTGTCTTCTTTAATTATTGTGACATTTTGATCACAGATTTGGGATGACGATGCTCATCCGTCCATCCGCCACCCTAACATTATGAAGGAGCTTATTTTGTTTAAGGACATTACGTTTGATTACATTAACAAGAGCTGAATTAGCTGGCTGGTGTTTCCTGTGTTGATTTGTGTATATCATTAACAAACAATGCAAGACAAAATTTGTTGACCCTATCCGACAAGTTTATTAATAATAATAATTATAATTGCTTATATAGCGCCTAACACTTACTTTATCAGAAGTCTCTAAGCGCTCTACAATAATGCAGCATAATTACCAAGATATTCATAGATATGAATTACTTCCAAGTGAGGGATATTATAATCCTGCTATTTCACTTTACTAGGACTAAACCAAACCTCTCCCATCCATTGTGGATGGTATCATACTCTTCAATCGAATATCCTTGGAAACAGATGACTTATTTTTCCATTGGCTGCTTGCCATTCAAGTTCACCCGTCCTTCACGTCGCATCTTCACCTTATGACCTTTCATCCTCACCCTATCGCTCCTGCACGCACGGGGATCCCACCCCCTCGACCCCAAATCAAGTCTTGTTGCATAGCAACCACAGCGCCGATCTAAATAACTGACAGAGACCGCCCTCCCCCATCGCCCCTACGTCGCCTCGCCGTGCCGCAGCAGTGCACGTGAACAAAAACGACCCACCGCTAACAACTCCAAAATCTTTTCATCCATACAGCTCTTTTCTTCTTCTTTTATTATCATCTTCTTGCGTTCCTCTCCATGCTCGTGATAAATCGATACAAAGTGCAAAGCTCTCTGGACGTACACACGATATTGTTTGGAATAACTTTGTTCGCCCGCGGATCCGTCCAATAAAGATTTTCACCAAAGTGGAGAGTTTCAACAAGCTCGAGTGCGACGGTGTTTGGCCATTGAAGTGTATGACAGCAGTCGTAAGACTAAGAGATCCATATATCTGACAAAACACAACGAATATATCATTGAGTTTTAGTAATTCGATCATTGAATTATATTTTGTTCTTAAAACGTTCTTCAGAAGACAAACGGTAGCATAATCATCGAACTGCGGTCAAGTTTGGGGTGAATATTATATCGCCTAGTTCAATGACAGCTCTATCATGTGATTCGACGACTTTGAAATCGGTGAGTTACTCGTATCCTCTCAAATATTGTTAAAACATTCTCCAGTTTGAAGGTGTCCGATTTCCGCAATGAATTATGATAAACCGCATTAAGTTCATGGCTCATAGACTAATCTCGAAGGTATAGGACTGTTGTATTCAGTTGTTATTACTGACCAAAAAATGTATGGAGTATTCCAAAACACATACTTCGTAGAAACATACGTGTATTACACCATCTTACCATTACTATTTTGTAAATCAAACGTGCTGACAAAGTGCGTCAACTTTTCAATTACCAAATAAAAAAACAGGAGGGAGAATATGATATTAAAGTATCATATTGGTGTTCTCTCTTTCTCAGGAGTATTGGCTCGTTGTCTTCATTGATAATTACACTCTTGAAACTCAAATGCTCAATCAACACTTTAAAAAGGTTTTAGGAGTGACAACATTTTCAATATCGTCACCTTCTTAACATTAATAATGGCCTAAGTCACATTTTGAAGAAAATTGTATTTTTGCACAAGTCATCTTTTCATAAGGATATCCATCTTTGTTAAATGACATATGTGCTGAATTAAACATATTGTATTTATATGCTTATACCAGTAAGTATAATGTCCTAAGTCAAGACTTGTGACCTAGGCCGTTTTACTCTTTGACCTACATTGTTCAAGAAATGTGAATTGGACATCAACGAAGACGATTGAGAAACATGGGAGGTCTTGTTTTAAATGGAAATGTGTTAATTTCCTTCAACTGTATTGTTTGTAGTGGGAATAAATGAAGTAAACTGGTGCCTAAGTCGCTTACTCCAGGATTACAATTTAGCCTAAGTCAGGTGTAAAATTGCTTTGGTAAAGTCACAGCGACATGTTTGCAAGTAATCTAATCCTCTTATGAAACAGATTTGATAGACAGCACTATTTGTATTTCAATAGTCATATATCCCCAAACATTTCTGTGTCAAATGAGCAAAAAGGATACAATTTATTCTATTTTTTACCTTTACCTTTACCGCAAATACTGGAAGAATGCTGAGACATCAGTCGAGCTTTCAGGTGTATCGTCTTGTACTCATTCTCTTTAATAATCTTTCTCATTATACAAGTCAGGTTCAGTTTTCTCTGTTTTTCTCAAATCTTAAAAATATGACTTAGGCCATTATTTTAAGAAGGTGACGATATAGTAGATTTACACTTTTAACAGGCTGGCTTCATCCTTGTTACTGCTAAACCCAGCGTGTTAAAGTATTAATCTAACATTTTCAAGAAGAACTAAAAATGTTGCCACTCCTCAAACCTTTCAATGTTAATTTAACACCTTAGTTGTAGAGTGCAAAATTTTATTGGGAGTCGCTGTAAATTAAATGTGGTGGAACTTTTCAACAAGATTTATTCGTTTGACATAAGGCAACTATATGGTTCTACATCATTTAAAGTGCATTGACTGCCCTCTGTTATCTGGGCAGGTCACAAATTAATAAGCCTAAAATAAAGCTTTTTAATATCCTAAAACCTTGATGACATTGAATCGACTAGTACTTTATAGTAGGGCTGACTTTTTGTAAGTTACTTTATTTAAAAAGATTAACCAATCTTATTAGTCATTATTTCAGTTCAGATTTACTTGCGTTTACTTTTTTTTTCTTCTTTTAATTCAATTGCTCTTTATTGTATATGACCTTTAGTTCTGACGATACCTCTTCTAATGAATGACCTTGACTTACCTACTTCTATAAAATGATCGATGGTCAACCTGACATCGACTTCCAGTCCATAACCAACCCAAAGCCCGACCGACAAAGACGTGGACACTCAAACTTCTTAATTTTGTTTTAACATTTCCGATACATAATGTAAATCCCTATAACATTCCATGTTTATTACAGGCTTTTTTGTCATATACAAGACTTAGAATGTCAGTGTACAGCCTTCCCCTAATTACAACCCTAAATTTAGGACTGCGATTTTACAAAATGTACAAATATCAGGATTGATGTTGCTATACGTATAACTCTTTTCTTTCGTGAACACCTACCCGTAAACTCGATAAATCGATAACTTTGAGTTCAAGCTAATTCTGGTCCTAAATTGCTTCTAAATCTTCATAAGGATCTAGATAAAAGGATGATCTCTAGGCCATATAGTACCAGCATAAAGAAAGTAGCACTCAGCTTTGTCACCCTAAGGGGAATTCAATTAAAAGGCCCTTCGAGAAAGGGCGCTTGGTGCTAGAATCAAGTATGAAGGTTCACACAGAAAAAGATGACGATCTGTGGTCAAAACACTATCAATGAATAATCCTATTCACTTTTTTCTGGATAACACACGAAGATGATCAAGACAATTGTCTTGAGAACAAAGTCAAGTATATAATCAGTCAATTTAAGTCGTTCTAGATATCTTTGTAAAATGACGGAACCATACCCCTTCCCCCTCCAAAAAAAAGGGAATGAGAAATAAAACAATTTAGATGACAATTGCATTAGGATATTAGGGTAGTCGCCTGTAACCTTTGGAGTTAAAATCTTAATTTGTTGTTGACAATAATCATGTAAAAATAACCTTACCCCCAAATGTTGCCCTTCGAAGTAATACTGCACCAATCTTCTAAACCATTGCAAAGAAAATACATTTTTGACCTATGTGCCTAATAGTAATACTACCTAATAAAAATCTAATAGCTTCCTAAGTTTTCAAGTTTGAATCATCAGTTTCAATGCAATTCGTGTCCCATGCATTCTTGATTTTCTCTAAAGGACAATCTGTGTTAAGATATTCTTTACAATTGAAACAAATTCTCTCTGGAAAGACGCAAAGTTGTAAACAATTAAATATTCATGTGATTCATGTCATCCAATTTGTCTCAACGGCAATTCTTTATGAAATCGACTGGATATCATGTTGCTGAGCTGAACATTATGTAATATTAAGAAACGATCAATCGGCGATCCATTGTCATTTCATTTAATCGATCTGTGACTTTCCTTGTATGTGTGTTTGTCTCAAGCCTTTCAGCCTCGAGAACTGTTGTCATCGTCGATACTTAGCGGCCATTTTGAATTCCTTTCTCCTTTCCTTATGGAACGACCTCACTGTAGAATGATCCATTTTATTCTACCCTTGGGCAGACAGTCACAGCATAAATCGATTCATCCTCAAAACCCTCTTGAAAGCTTTTCGTTTAATGAATAATAGTGACTAAATTGGTTCGGGTTTAATAGGTTACAATTGACTTCAATTTGCTCGTTTGCAAATGATATCCCTCTGACATGATGCTCACTCCTCCGCTCAACGTTATTTATAATATCTATAATTCAGATCCTATCAACAATTTATTTCCTGAAAGAAAACATAATTATATCAAAATAATTGCCTTTTCATTCCAAATTTCAACCAAATGTTATTTGCGCAATTATTTTGCTTGATTTCGGCTTTCTGTGCAATGCTACATTTGGCCTTTGAGGTACACTAATTGTAGAAAACAGCAAGCTTCAGTTTGTGTCTTTGTTTAAAGCTATCTTTTGATTTGGTAACATAATCATCTCTTTCGAATAACTAGGCTAAATCCTAAGACAACTACTGCATTTTACAATTTGCTTCTTTTCCCTCTCTGCAAGAAGAAGAAAGAAAGTTTTGTCATGTCATATCGTACCCCATCTTCTCTTGGACACCTCAGAACACCTCTAGATTCTAGAACGACTCTAGAACCAATCAATTCTTGGTCATAGGGTAATTTGATTTCTTTTCTTCGGTCTGTTGTCGATCTGGAGTCTTGCAAACAGATAAATAGAGATGTTATTGGAAAACAGAAACCTTAGAGGAAGGAGCCACAGCTCAGCTAAAGGGTTCAATCTTTATTCAACATAATTCGCACGTACGGTTCATAAGTACTTTGTTAAACATAAGTAACAATGATTGGCTTATCAGTCGGTACATCCATGAAGTATTGGGTATTTATTTACAAGATTCAACATGTTATATGATGACACTTGTTTAGATTTTCCTTATTACCTGATTTCGTAGATCTTAATAGACTGAATGTGATTTCTTTTGGAGGGCTTTTCATTATCAATCTTTCAAACGCCGAACTTTCAGATAAACAAAGGCCTATTTCTTTTTTGAACCTCGGTTAAGGAAATTAGATGAGTGTTCGAAACAAACTCCAGTCGCTGATAATGAGCATAGACCTCTAGTACATGTCAAAAGAATGTAAAATGTCATTCTATGGAATTATGTAATGATGCTATATTGTAGCTAACAACTTGGTATAGTAAAACCTTATGTTTGTACTTGTTCAAAAGAAAAGAAACTTCTCGAAGACAGAAGAACCATGAGAATATATTAGTCGTCTCCTGCTTTGTATCAACCTTGGTCAATTTTGATATTTATTTACGAATGAGTGGGAAATATATATACAATGAATTTCATTTCTTCGTTCATGACAAGCATTGCCACTTTTGTTGCCTATGTGGTTTCCAAAAATTGCTTCATCATGGTTTTTAAACAAATTTAAACCTCCTTGTCTTGTTTTCCTTTTGAATGAAGGGTTTGGTTCAACTTCGGATCTTTGTCATATTACGTGGAACACTTTCTTAAAGACCCGTACGTCATAATTAAACTAAGACCGTTTGACAGACCAGGCCGCAGGCAAGGGCTTAAGAAAGTGAAACGTGAATAAAGCAACCTGTTTGTTTTCCGTGAAGATGAATTGCCATGTTCTCATTTTACGTCATGGTCTTATTACAGAAAACTGGCTCTTATTTCAATCAAGATACAGCTTCAGCCCGTTAACAATACAATCAGTTTGTGAAAAACAGACACGGAGAGTATGAATTTAATGAAACATCTTGAAATAGACGTATACAAAAATGAGACTCACCGTTATATGGTGGATAGCTTACCTAATTGAAAGGTGATTATTTGGTTGATTGAAACAATGAAGATCTAAGAATGTCATGTCGATGTTTTGGGTTTTCTCCTGTGACGCATACACTTCTTAAAACTTTATCCAACACACGCTCCTTTCTTTAAAGGATTTTTAGCTCCCATGTATAACATCATGATTGTGGATTGTTCTTGTGCCACTTTGAACATCTCATTTGCATCACACTTCGTAATATGTAAAACACAGTGGCTAGAAACAAAATAGGCCTAAATCATATTTTGAATACTATGCATGCCTATTAATCACATAATGCTCTTCACATCGAATTCATATAGTCAACATTTTTCTTGTCAAATATGATGTAAAAATCACGTAATGTCTCCCTTTTGTTACAACCCTAAGGAAATATTAACACCTGGGCCCAGTTGCATAAAACTTACTATTGATAGTAACTTAGCCATAAATGGTAACTTCCTGGGAAACATTAGTTGATTGGCTGTAGAGTGATGTTGCAATGTTTGTTAATATTGATGGTAACTTTGCCATAAATGGTAACTTCCAGGGAAACATTAGTTTGATTTGCTGTAGAGTGATGTTGCAATATTTGTTAATATTGATGGTAACTTTGCCATAAATGGTAACTTCCAGGGAAACATTAGTTTGATTGGCTGTAGAGTGATGTTGCAATGTTTGTTAATATTGATGGTAACTTTGCCATAAATGGTAACTTCCAGGGAAACATTAGTTTGATTGGCTGTAGAGTGATGTTGTCATGTTAGTTAATATTGATGGTAACTTAGCCATAAATGGTAACTTCCAGGGAAACATTAGTTTGATTGGCTGTTGAGTGATGTTGCCATGTTAGTTAATATTGATGGTAACTTTGCCATAAATGGTAACTTCCAGGGAAACATTAGTTTGATTGGCTGTTGAGTGATGTTGCCATGTTAGTTAATATTGATGGTAACTTAGCCATAAATGGTAACTTCCTGGGAAACATTAGTTGATTGGCTGTTGAGTGATGTTGCCATGTTAGTTAATATTGATGGTAACTTTGCCATAAATGGTAACTTCCAGGGAAACATTAGTTTGATTGGCTGTTGAGTGATGTTGCCATGTTAGTTAATATTGATGGTAACTTTGCCATAAATAGTAACTTCCAGGGAAACATTAGTTTGATTGGCTGTTGAGTGATGTTGTCATGTTAGTTAATATTGATGGTAACTTAGCCATAAATGGTAACTTCCTGGCAAACATTAGTTTGATTGGCTGTTGAGTGATGTTGCCATGTTAGTTAATATTGATGGTAACTTTGCCATAAATGGTAACTTCCAGGGAAACATTAGTTTGATTGGCTGTTGAGTGATGTTGCCATGTTAGTTAATATTGATGGTAACTTTGCCATAAATGGTAACTTCCAGGGAAACATTAGTTTAATTGGCTGTTGAGTGATGTTGCAATGTTAGTTGATATTGATGGCAAAGTTACCATCAATGGTAAGTTTTATGCAATGGGGCCCTGCTGATGTTGACTTTACGCAGTGATCAATTTTAGTGAATACACACCGAGCATCACGCTGATAGAATTTGACTCGATTTTGTTGTCACGGCAACGTGAAGCGAGTAAATTTCCAGACGCATGTGACCTGATGAACTCCGCCTGCTTTGTGGACTCACGCGTGATCCCTGATCTCGCACTGTTTATGTTTCAACATATATTATACCAATCACTTCTCAAATATCAATCAGTCTGACAACGTCGTCAGAACGTTTTGGTAACAACATTCGGTTTATGTGATCTAATTCAGATTATAATTTTTATAATGCAAGAGGGCGACAGAGGGCCATCTACTATGACTGAATAAACCATACAGCCTGACAGTAAAGGCATAGGACATCACCGTTTGTTGTGTTACTATTCAAGACTCCCTCGTTTTAAATAACAACCAAAATATCACAGTTTTGAACGGAGAGGAGAGATGGAATTAGGACCAGGTTTGTCTGCGTTGGGGAAGGACGTGTGAATATGCAGCAGCAGAAAAAACAATAACGACATAACCACAAACACAGCAACAAAATTAACGATGAGGATGACGACTTTGTAAAGAATGAATTGTTACAATGGACTATAACTTTAACATAAGAATAATTAAAAGAAAAACAAACATATCATATAACTTCAAAAAAATTAACAATTTGTTTACCCAGGGAAGCCTCATCAGAATCAGTGCTGTTATTCCTGAGGGCCCTGCAATTATCATTATCCCCATCAATAGCAATTTACCCCTTTACACCTTGGTGGAGAGTAGCATATATGACTTAATATGTCGCCAAAGGACTTTAGTGCGGGGCTAGGATTCGATCCCTCAACCCTTGCATTGAGAGTCAAGTGGACGAACCATTATATCTCGACGCTTTCATAACTCATTCCACTGAAATATCTTGATTCAACCTTTCAAAGGAGGAAGGTTTAGAGGAAGAGGTGTCAATCAACACACCAGCTTATGATGTTTCAAAGCATTAACGTCATGCAGAAACCGAGATTTCATATAATCGATATTATTTTCATGCAACTGTTGATTTTGTTTCGTTCTGTCTCTTAACACAATGCCACATTACAGAATAATTTGTCTATCAGTTAGAACTGATTCAATCCCCTCTGTAATATACTTCAAACAAAATCATAAAAGGGAACGGGCACCATTTAATTTGCTTAATGCATGCTCAAAAAGTGCTTTGAAATATTATTTCTACAGGGCAGTCCGGGAGGTCCATTTTGTGTGGCATGGGGCTTTCATATTCACAAAGCATGTCAACATGGCAAAATCTCAATTGTGTTTCAGCTCCATCAATTTTCATTATTTTATTATTAGGGAAAGATAGGAAGACAAAATACAGTGGAATTTCCCTACACCTCGATTTGGTAAATTTCCAAACCTTAAACAAAACTAAGCCTTTAAATCGGTGCAGGTGGGTTTTTCTCTCCGATTGTTGTATTTTTTGTTTTCTTCCCAATTGTTTTAGGAGATAGGTAGAGAGAGAGAGAGAGAGTGGGGGGGGGGGGTCACTGAACAAATAGCAAAGGCCGCACAGCACACACAAAGAGATATGGATTATTGGATAAGGTAGAATAAGCCTACATGTATTTGTGGATACAGCGGCTACTCTTGGATTTGTTCATGGCGCCCTCTAAACGAACGTGAAGACAGTGTTTTCGCTCGTCAGCCAACCGGCGTTGGGTGACGAAAAAAAAAATGATAATCGAGACCTGCTCTGGTTTTCCTCTTTTCAAAAGCCTATCCATCTGCAGTAATGAGATAATAAAAACTGATTTTTTTTTTTAATGTAACAAATAAGGGTCTCGGCTTCTCTCTCTCTCTCTCTATATATATATCGCTCACTTTCCTCCATCTTGATTCATCTTCTGTCATTATACAATTATTTGATGATAAAGATCCTTTTTTTAAGGATGGGGGAACAAAAACCATTTTACCCTTTTTTGGTAAACGTTTTAAAGCAAAATAATATTTCGGTTTAAATGTACATGTATATTATGTTATCATCTACAGTAACAGGAATACGATACTTTTATCAGGAAAAGGAAGCAAACGAAGAAATGTATTGTAATTTGTAAACCTCGTTATTGTATGTATCATATCTTTATGTCTTTACAGGTCCAAGGTGACGTCACAAAGGAACTGGATAGACGATGAGAGACTAATATCGGGGATTCTCTTTGCACGTGTCTGAAACTGAAAAGGGGGACAGAATGAACGAAGAGAAGTCTAAACCAGTCAGCGCCCCTGCGCGGGTAACAAGTCGTGACGATGTCTGGAGGGACATCCGCAGCTGGGCTAAACCCAGTCGACGAACTGACGACGACGACGATGAAGAAGGCGGTGAACAGGGCCGCATCATTGGTTCCCAGGTCAAAGACAATATCACAGAGCAACGGCTCCTCGAAAACAGACTCCTTGATTTATCGAAAGAGAGGTATAAGTTTATTGTTCATGTCGCATGGCAGAGGAAAGCGTTCATGGACAAGCAGAAATGTAAGACGAGTGTGATGAAGGACCTGCTACGAAATGTCGAGACCGTGGATACGAGTGCACCGGCAGTACAAAAGGGAAAGAATCAGCGGAGCCGGTTGAACGAGAAACTCGAAACTTACCGCGATCTGGTGCGTAAGACATACAGTGAGCAACGCAAGAAGGAACTGCAGACGTGCCAAACGGATCCGGAAGAAATCAGGCCGATCATACCGGGAACGTACGACGATCCGTTGTACAAAACCGAACCGACATTCAGCGCGCGGAACAAGAAGCGAAGCGCGTTCGAATCGGGTAGACGACGAGGACCACAGAATCCGACGATGTTTCCCGCGATTCAACCGCCTGAAAAGACCCGACAGCAGAGCGTACCGCCGAACCACATGCGACGGGGTATAAGTCGCGGGAGCAGCACCAACCGCTTACCGGACACAGCCGGGATGAGACCGGGTGTAGCAACCGCCCCAGGACACAACGGTACAATGACGTCATCAGCAGAACGCATACCTCGCTATTTAAAATACCGCTCGGTTTACGACGGAAGGTTTAAAGGACTTGAGAGGTCCCTGTCGGCGAGTTACGACGGCAAGTCAGGACAGAGCATTGAGAACATTTTGAATGGGCTCCCGCGGAGCATGTCTGTTGCTCTATAGCTTACACCAGCTTCATGAAATATATTGGCTGCCTCATAGCTGAGTTGAACCTCTCTCAAACTTTGCCGTGATGGAGGCAACTCGAGGTGAACTCGGGACATCTAATGTCAATACGAGTAACTACGATTAGCGCCGAGTCACATCGAGTTATTTACGATTGTGTACGAGTTGTGCCGAGCTCGCTCGTGGTCCACAGCAGAGAATGAGGCGGGCTTAATGATGGTCATCAAAACTAAAATATGAAATAAATCTCTTTTTGTTGTCATTAATATATTATAAGAGAAGATTTACAAAATTTATGAATCATACCACATCATCAACTGGATGTCACGTCATAGTGCGAGTGCAACATGCTTTAACCATGCGGGGGGGGGGGGGGGGGGGTGAAAGTCTACTACTAACATGATGGCAAGTACTTTGAAAAATAAATCGAAGAAAATTTTATTTATTCTTTCCATAACATATTGAAATGAATGCTATGAGATGTACTGTGAGGTATTGTAATTGCCCTTGAGTTGATTAACTGAAAGTTTTTGCAATCTTGTTTTCTAATTTTACGTGTGTCGGAGATAAAAGCCATCTCATTCGTAATTAAACACTCTGTCTGCTGTATAGGGACAGATGATGAAATGCTGCAGATTAGTGTTACACGCCTGTACCCTGACTTCCAAAGAAGACGATTTAATCATTATTGATACTCCAAATATCGAACATTTAGGTGGCAAATGAAACTGTTTTTTGTTTCTCATATAAACAGTGAAAAGGGGGCCATGAGTGAGACGGGACAGAGAGGGTAGAAACACGTTGTGTGCGTGAAAGAGAGAGAATAAAAGAGAGTAGAGAGAGAGAGAGAGAGAGAGATTTTGGGAGGAGGGGGGGGGGGGGGCGGAGGCAGAAGGAATATTTTCAGAGAATCTAATATATATTAGAGGTTGGGTCGTAATAGACCAGTTTGGTAATGTAATCAAATTCAATGTATAATTCCAGTTTGGTGAGTGCCAAGTTACTAATTATTCCATTTACCTGTTACGAATAATTGTATTCCAAAAGTCAGAACGCGAATTGATGCTACATAGGACCAACATAATGGCTTATCCTACCTAACAAAACGTCATAATACACGCCAGTCCCATTCCGACTATTGAAATACAATTATTCGTAAGAGGTGAATAAGATAATTTTGTAACATGGCACTTAACAACGATTGAATGCATTCATTTTAAATCCATTACGAAAATGGTCTATTGCCATTCACGATTATCGACTTTGTTTGGGACATCCATCACTCGTATTTTGATCAGTGAATTTAATTAATTGTTCTGGGGTGTAGTGAAGGTATATTTACGTTTGAGGGTTGTAGGGTGTTTTTTTTTTCTTGGACCAATATTATGTACGCTTACTCAATACTTATGCTTTTAATGTCTGTAAGTTCTATAACAGGGATACTCACTTAGGACTTCAATTATTGGTCTTTATATACTTCAGTTGTACTGTGTATGCTTTCTACATCGTTTCCCCCAAAATATTTCAGTATACTTCAAAGCATTCGACATTTAGATATCAATAAAGCTTTGAAAAACCACTGCAAACGCCCAGACATTGATGTGTTAAATTTATGCTTAAAAATGTTATTCACTGTCAAGTTTGTAATATTTAATGATGATGAATATTGAAAAAGGGAGGTTCTTGTACGGTGTTTTTTTAAATTCCAACCGATTGTCTGCCTGGGACGAAGATAATGACGACAAAGCAAAGAAATAGTGAAGATGGCGACGACGATGATGATGATGATGATGATGGTGGTGGTGGTGGTGGTGGTGGTGTGAGGTGATGATGATGATGGTGCGATGATGAGGATGATGATGATTATGATGATGGTGACGATGATGGTGATGATGATGGTGTGTTGATGGTGTGAGGATGATAATGAAGATGACTGTGATGACGGTGACGATGATGGTGATGATGATGGTGTGACGATGATGGTGACGATGATGGTGTTATGATGGTGTAATGATGAGGATGATTGTGATGATGGTGACGATGATGGTGATGATGATGATGTGTTGATGGTGTGAGGATGATGATGAAGATGACTGTGATGACGGTGACGATGATGGTGATGATGGTGTGACGATGATGGTGACGATGATGGTGTTATGATGGTGTGATGATGAGGATGATTGTGATGACGGTGACGATGGTGGTGACGATGATGGTGATGATGATGGTGTGATGATGGTGTGAGGATGAGGATGATGATGATTGTGATGATGGTGACGATGATGGTGATGATGATGGTGTGTTGATGGTGTGAGGATGATGATGAAGATGACTGTGATGACGGTGACGATGATGGTGATGATAGTGGTGTGACGATGATGGTGACGATAATGGTGTTATGATGGTGTGATGATGAGGATGATTGTGATGACGGTGACGATGGTGGTGATGGTGATGATGGTGTGACGATGATGAAGTGATGATGATGATGAAAATGACGATGGTGATGACGATGGTGATGATGATGATGACGATGGCGATGATGATGATGATGAGGAGGAGGGCGATGATGCTGATAGTTGATAAGGATTTTGAATGATGATGATGATTATGAGGATGAACATCCTCATAATCACATTTCAACTTTTAATTCAGTATAAAGTTGCCCTAAGGAAAACATTGGGTTTTATCATTTCTTAAATTGGATTATCAGACAATCGCTAGATCATACAAAGATAAGCAATATAGTCAAATTATTCATTCGGTTTGTTTGTGCTCGATTCACTTTGGTATTTACATTGTTCACAGCCGTTTGTATTTCATAATTTCCCCTTCATGTTGAAATGTTTGTTGTTGTTAAAATTTACTTTCCAAAATAATATCTCTGATTACATACCGTATCGAGACAGTGAGAGCCAAAATCCATGCTCATCATCAATGGATCTTGTTTGTGTATTTTGAATTGCGCCCTCTTCGAGGTAGAAACCTTGGATAACTTTATGTGGAGAACGGTACTATTTTACACTGAACCTATACCCTACGTGGTGTAGAAATAAGTGAAATTGATTGGATTGAGAAAAAAACAACTTATCGCATAAATTAAGTGTTCCATTTTAACCTCGGAAAAATTCAAACAACACACAATGCCATTCCTATGTTGTCTAGTCTTTATTTACCACTGATGCTTTTTAAACAAAGTCCTGTAGAATTTGGCATGTGAACAAAATTAAATTAGTAAATTATTAATTATTAAATTATTCTGATAATAACGAAACTATAGATGGAAATAGCAATAAAGATACAGAATACAAATTATAGAAGAAAGGAAATGAAATGACACAGATGTACTAAGTATGTTTTGCCAAAAGTATTGCAAGGCCAGTATGAAACAAGGCAAAACAATAACAAACCACTAAAGTAAAATAAAAATTAAAACAAACTGCAGTAAGATCTTGGTAAAGTAAAATCCAATTCAGGATATTCACTTTGAAGATTTTGTTTCATTATCATGATTAAATCTCGAGGTTATTACTTTTCAAGTCAATGCAATCATTTTCATTTCATATTCTTGAATTTCTTTTTTCATATCAATAAAATAGTCAAGTAAACGATTTATACATTATTTCTGTCGTGGCTAGCTTTGAGACTTTAAGCGGGACTGCAATACTTGTAGCTACTTTCGCCCTTTATACAGCCAACAATGCCTAAGCGGTACCCGTTGGTCCCCCATTGTCCCTTTTTCTTATGTTAGTTGAGAGCTGATTTGATGAGATGAGTACATGACCACCTGTTGGTGACCGTGCAGGGAGGTCTGATCCCTCCTGGCCAAACTATTACAAGTAGGCTTTAATGTAAAATGAAATTTTTAATTGCGATTTTAGGCGTCTGTGCTCTATCCACCTAACATATAATCCTCTCCCTTTCCACGTATGCTAAATGCGGCTACAGCAAAGTGGATTATATTTCTTTCATTACGCAATCATTATGCTTCCAGGGTGTCGATAAATGGATGAGGCACCGGTTATTGGATATAGTTACATGTGGATGTATTTTGAAACATATGAGGAACCCTTTGTTTCAGTTTGCGTGTTTTACCATAGTTTATATATCTGTTCAACTATTTAATATAACTTAACGTTGGAGAATCTGCTGTATCTTTCATTACAGTTGACAAAAAAAGAAAATACACAAATGTTCATATTAATACGTGCATACATATCTGGGCACGCAGACAAATCTGAAAATAAAAAACAAACCCCCCCCCCCAAAAAAAAAAATACACAAAAAAACAACAACAAACAAGTATCAGATTCTAACACAAAACTAACAAAACAAACGAAACAAAAAAAACAAAAAAAAAACAAAAAAAAACAAAAAACAAACAAACAAACAAAACAAACAAAACAAACAAAACGAAACAAAACAAAATAAAACAAACAAAATAAACAGAACAAACAAAACAAAACGAAACAAACAGTCATAACAAAAAGAGCAAAAAAAAAACTTCCCTGTATCTCTGGTTCTGTGAAGTCAAGCTTTCCATTACATCAGTCCACTATACATAAAATAAAAATAAATGTTGGCCTATTTGCGATTTGTAACTTTTTTTCTGTCATCAGTTTTCCCCTTTTTTCACATTTTTATCGTTTATGATTTTCATTTTGTTCATAAATCTCACAAATCTCACTAGATCTATTTTTGACAAAGTGTTTAACAGCATTTCTATAAAAATGGCAAATTCCTTTATCTATAAATTCAGTCGAGTTCATAATTTGAATAAACAGAGTTTTTATCCAAGTTGATATCATGAGGCCGCTATCCTCGTCAAGCTTTGCTTATGATTGCGGTCTCCTGCACTTTTCCAACAGAATAGTTCGGATAATACTTTAAATTTATGATAATATGTTATGGAAATAATAAGTTTCGTTATTATATGTAAATATATTATTAAAAAAAAAATCATTTTGACATGAAGAAATTATTGTTTGTTTATGTTGTATTATATCTTACATGTATATTATGTTCTTTGTTATTCAGTCATATTTTATTTGGAAAACATGCAGAAATAAAATCAAAGCAAATCAAATCATTTATAAGTTAATAAATTAATTAGAAATTGGATTTCGAATTGAGCGAATTAAGTGAATCACGAATAAGGAGATGCGACTATACAGTATGAGCAGAGAGATATGAGGGGGAGCGAAATTTCAATGAATGATGTCACACGACAAACAGCTCTAGACATTTCATTGTATACACGCTTATCAATTCAGTCAAAACCTATTTGTAAAAGTAATGAAACGTCGTGTGATTCACAACTCAAAGAGATTAACCTATTATGTCAACATGCGACCGAGCCCCTCTTTTCTGATCTACCAAAATGTTTCAAAGCAAATAAGCATAACTACAAGATACAGCTGGTGAAACGTGACGTATACTACTACGAAAAGTTTTATCAAACTCAAAGAACATATAGGAAGATTTCATCAAATCGGAGCAAGAGTTATGAGTATATTACACATCACACAGTTGCTATTGACGCTGAGAGCGCCCGTCGGCTGCCCAGTTAATTTTTGAAGAAGGATACTTGAGTGCGTACTTATGTATTTCATCGGTGCTTCAGTCCCTCGAATAATCGTGCTTATAGGGGATCCGGCGCCGCTCTGTTAAAGTTTAATCTGGTATTCACTTCGTGCAACCATCTGTGGAACAATTAGGATGTTCGAATTTGCTACCATGCCCGCCTGGCCCGCAGGCACAGACACTTAGCAACCGCTCGACACGATCAATACCCATTGAGAAACTGTGTTTTATAATTATATATATATCTTATCGGCAGCATTCTGTTTAGTACACATGTGCTATAAATTACACGAAATTGCTCACATCAATTCTGGTACTACATGGAAATAATCTTGCAGTAGCAGTTGGCAAGGTAAGTTGGGTTTTGAAGAACTTGTTTGCTTGTCGTATAGTGTAAACCTGATATACGTGTCTTGTTGGAATAATGGCTAGAATCCATAAAAGTTGTCGTAAACACCCAACTACAACGCACATAAAGGGTATAAACTCCAAAGTATAATGTGTTCAAAGGTATCTTTCAAATCCACGGATGTTTATACAACTATAAAGTTTTAGGCTACTGCCACACTATATAAGATGTTCAGGGAGAAAGGGAATATAACCTAAATATTATAGTCTAAACATAGACTTATTATTATAAAGGTATATAGTTGAACTCTTTTGAGTATAGAGAAACGAATCCACGAACAAATTTAGATCACTATTTGAGCTAGTATGTTTTATACGTACAGTATATTTTGCATGTATAAAAGGAATGCCTTCTTTACGAAAGTAACAGGTTTTATAGCTAGTTTACCAGATTATTTTTTAATCGCTTAAAATTAAGAAAAGTGTTATTCAAAGATTGAATAACAGGTAAAATTGGAACCATATCAAATGTCATTAACAGGGATATTCCTATTAATAAAAGTAGGATGTCCTTTCTAGCACCTCACAAACTTTCCAACGCATACGTAGACATATTTTATGTAGCCATATATCAAAGTGTACATTACACGCATAAAAGTATTGATGAGGAAATAGAACTGTACTATTACTAAATGTAAAACACGTTAAAATAGACCTACAAGTTAAAGAGAGGGTATAAAATC